ATATACATTACTTACTACTTACTACTACTTACTTACTACTTACTACTACTTACTTACTACTTACTAACGATACTAGCTTACTACTAACTTACTACTACTTACTACACCTTAACTACTACTTACTACTACTTACTTACTACTTACTACACCTTACTTACTACCTAAACTACTACTGCTACTACTGCTACTACTGCTACTACTACTCCTACTACTCCTACTACTCCTACTCCTACTCCTACTCCTACTCCTACTCCTACTCCTACTCCTACTCCTACTCCTACTCCTCCTACTCCTACTCCTACTCCTACTACTACTACTACTCCTACTACTACTACTCCTACTACTACTACTACTCCTACTACTCCTACTACTACTACTACTACTCCTACTACTCCTACTACTACTACTACTACTACCTACTACTACCTACTACTACCTACTACTACCTACTACTACTTACTACTACTTACTACTACTTACTACTACTTACTACTACTTACTACTACTTACTACTACTAACTACTACTAACTACTACTAACTACTACTACAACTACTACTACTACTACTACTACCACTAACACTAAAACTACAACTGCAATAACTGCCACTACAATTACAGCTACAACTACAACCACGACGACAACAACGACAACAGCGACGACTACGACTACAACTACAACTACACTGCAGCAACAACTGCAACTACAACTACAACTACAGCTGCAACTCAACTAAACTAAACCACACTACAACTCCAAACAGAACTACAACTACAACTACACTAGGCTACAACTACCACTACGCTCCACTACACTACATCCAGCAGTTGTGGGTGAGGTGACCACTGCAACCACTCCAAAAAGCGCAGCTCCAACTACCTTTCGGTCCATCAATGGATTTGCTCTGCCATCCCTGCATGACAACAACTGACCTCTCCTATAGCTTCTTATCTTTGAAACTTCCGCCACCGCCTTGTGCGATACTATTGGCACTTATTACCATATTATTTTTTTCACTATATACCTATATATATATATACATACATACACCTATTTACTATATTCTATTTACTGTACTGTACTATACTATATATAAATCATATATATATATATATTGAGGTTTCCTAAGTCATAGGGCTACCCTCATAGCGTCCCGGCCCAGGAGTCGTCTGGCACGGGATGATGGCGCGCCAGGGCGCTGCGGAGCAACTCCTGGAAATGGACAAAAATGGCTGGGAACAGACCAGCACTAACAAAAGGGATTTCATGGAGATTCAACCATCAACAATAAGGTTCTAATTGGATTTAATGAGATTTAGTGGGATTTTATGGTGATTTAGTGGGATTCAATAGTGATTTACAGTAATGGGATTTTTGAATATTTTTGATGGAAACTTGACAGTCAATGGATTGTTTTCTTGGAAAAATGACAGGAACCACCCATAATCCATATGAATCATAGGAAAACCGATGGTTTCCGGTAGGTTTTCCCTTAAGCCAATCCATTGAGTTATGGGATAATGGGGATAGAACTGGATATATGGGATGTGTAATAGTAAAACAACACAGATTTCAACATGTCGGGTCTTTTAGTGGTGTCTTAAGGGGATTTCACAGCATTGAAACAACTAAAAATTGTGTTTTTTCATGGGATTTAATGATGTTTGAGTGGTATATTTATTGGTTATATTATATTACTGGTGCATGTTAACAAAGCACTAGTAAACCATTCACAATTTTACCATGTTTATGGCTCGTATAAACAATCAAAATATGGTTACTACGCTCCGGTAATCAAACATGGCTCGCTGGAAAAACCACCATTTCTATAGTTCGATAATTGTCCCAGCTAGAAACCTCCATGTTTGTAAGGGATGTCCCAGCTAGCCATGTTTGATTGCTGGAGGGTACCCTAGCGAAACTAACAAAACGATGTGGACAACCCATGGCTTCCCAAGGAAAATGATCTAAACATGGTTTTTGTTCAGCATCTATGTCAGTTTACCCTAGAGGATTGGTTATACGAAAATAGTATCTGGTTGGTGGTTGAGCCACCCCTCTGAAAAATATGAGTTCGCCAGTTGGGATGATAACATTCCCAATATATGGAAAGTCATAAAACATGTTCCAAACCACCAACCAGGCATTTGATTTATGATTTATTGACTACTGGTATTCTATTGGTTGTTGATTATGTGGCTGGTTGGAAAATGCCTGGTCACTACATGGAGGTTTCGTTCGCTGGGAAAATCCCAGTACATGGCGTTGATTATGGGGAAATCATCGTTTGCGACATAGCTTTTGATAGAAATAGTACCAGTGATAATTTACTAATCACATGTAATTATTTGATTATATGGTCAGTTCAGTAGTTTGCTATAACTATAACCATTGGCATACGAAAGATATGCGGAACAACAGTATAATAGTTTAATATATCCCAGGGAAAATTTACTGGGAGATTTACTGGAGATACTAGTAATTCATTCCATGATTAAAAGGGGTATTATATGCCAGTCATCAATATTTACCAATATTATCTTATCAGTAATTATTGAAATGTGTCTAAGACTGGAGGATACCCAAAAGTCACCATCTTAAAATACGGGAAATGATGATTCACATGGGGAAAGCAATGATAAACCCTCAAACTTAGGGACAGCTAAGAATCAAAATATTGACGGTCGAGATGTGAATATCTTAATAGTATCCCAAATCTTACTAGACATATATATATATATATATTAGATATACCATAGTAGATAAAACATATATAGATAACTGACTATCTCAATAGTATTCCAAATCTGACTACCATAATAGATATACCACAATTCAAATCTTATCTCAGTAATAGATACAACTATCCCCATCTACAAAAGGTGGACATTTTTTCCGAACTTTTTTGGAACCCTCTACAACATATCCAATACCCCTCAGCAAACTACGTATAGATTCCGTTTAGATATGGGAAATCCATCATACAGATCATTTCCGAAGAGCCCCATGGATTTCCAGAGCTAGAATGTAAAACATACTGGAGGAATATTAAAACAAAACAATATTATAATATATATATATATGTTATACACATATCACAATATGATATGCTTGGGGAATCTAGATGAATCTAGGGAATACATTGACTAACAAAATAGATATGATGGGAGCCGAGGATCATTGACCATTTTAACTGCAGGGATGTATGGGTTTGACTGGAAATGGGTTATGAGACCCACCACTTCGGGGGGATATGTATATAACAAACCGTATGGGATATGAATGGATATGATGTGATATAGGAAATGGGCTTGTCCGGATAGGATATACCCCAAATGACAAGTTGCATGGGGCAAAAAAAATAACCACTATGTTGGGACAACATTGTACTGATTTGACAATTCGGTTGAAAAATCCAGTGACCTGTTTTGATTATTTCCATAAGAAACAAAACAAAAAAACAATTGTGGGATATACCCTATCTTGATCTCAGAAATGTCACTTTCCGAAAAATAGGACATCGACCAGCTCGTTGTCGGGTTCATGTCTACCCCATCTTTGAGCCCCTTTTTTGTCCAAAAACCGTATGCCCAAGACTAACCGCTCACTTTCCGCTGATGAAACATAGCAATGGACTATCACCCATTTTAAAGAGGATGTTCCCGTGAAAACATGTTCGCTGTAACCCTGACGTTGCTCCGCGCCGGAATTGTGGAAAGGTTGCGTATTTTTGAAATGCCATGCCGGGGGGCTTTCGATATGTACATGTAAATGTGATCCATGATGATCATCATCGTCATCGTCACAGTCATCGTCGTCGTCGTCGTCATCATCATCATCATCATTCCTTATGAAGATAAGTTGGTGCTATGATCAGGTTCAGCATATTTGTCATAGAGGTGGTGGAATTGTTCAGCCCTTCTGAAGATAAGTTGATGTTATTCCTTTTTCAACCTAATTGTCAGAGGGAGTGGTGGATGTGTTGATCCCTTTTGAAGATAAGTTGATGTGACTACCCCATTTAGCATATTTGTCAGAGGGGGTGGTGGATGCTTTAACCCCATAAGTTGATGTTAGTCATTTTCAACATATTTGTCATAGGGGGTGGCGGATGTTGATCTCTTATGAAGATAAGTTGATGTGATTGCCACGTTCAGCATATGTGTCATGGGGGGGTGGTAGATTTTGTTTGACCCCTTATGAAGATCAGTTGATGTTATTGTTGTCATTCCTTGTTCAACATATTTGTCAGAAGGGGTGGTGGATTTGTTAATCCCTTTTGAAGATAAGTTGATGTGATCATACCATTCAATATATTTGTCATAGGGGGCCGCGGATTTAGGATCCCTTGTGACTAAAAGACATTTAAGTTGGTGGTATTACCCCATTACACATGAGTTGCCACTGGTGGTGATGATGATGATTATGATGATGTTGCTGCTGATGATGATGATCATGACAATGTTCCTGAACATGAAAATGATGGTGAGGATGATGATGTTGATGATGATGTTGATGATGTTGATGATGATGACATCATGATGATGATGACATCATGATGATGAGGATGGCATGATGATGATGATGACGACGACGACAACATCATGATGATGATGATGATGATGACGACGACAACATCATGATGATGATGATGATGATGAGAAGTGTAAGTGTGGAGCAACGTCCGGGTTGGACGGAACATGTTTAAACCACAATTATTGCTGCTTTTTAATTTCCATGCTTGAATGCCGGAGGGTAATCATCACATTCTCGAAATGTTGAAATCCATGGTATACGCCATTTCTGGACAAACTTATTCTCCATTATGTCTCTTAAGTCACATACTGTTAGTTGATATATCCTATGAAGTCCCCAGCATATCCTCATTATTCCCCATAAAATATCCCAATGTTCCATGGTTGGTTTATATCCCTATGATATCCCACCAAAAATGACAAACTCACCACCGTGCCCTGCCCAAAGTGGAGTGAATTCTGCGCCTCACTCACGGCTTCTCCGTCTGCTGCGGCTTGAACCGCCTCTGCCGGTTCCATGTCCCAGTTAGTCATGTGGAAACCATGTGAATAAATTATAATATTTCATTAACTGGGACATGGAACCATCGTTTCCACATGGGGAATATTAACATGACTTCAACATTAATGAATTAACATGACCCTTATAATTTCCCCAAATTAATTATTTCATTAACCTGAATTAAGGCCATTTGGGGATCATTTCCCTTACTAACTATGATTCCAGTGAGGGAGAACAGTGAGGTCGTTATAATTTACCCAGAAACCATGTGAATAAACCATCCCGGAAAAAGATGAGACAATTGGGCATACTTGTACTGAAGGCTTGATGACTTGATGACTCGTGACCCCCATAAAAAGGCCGGTGAGTGGCATGTTTTGTTATTGGGTTGCACATTGAATGATGTTGTGACCCATATATATATATATAACCGGGGATGTGTCATGTATAACACAACTGGCATAATCACATAATGTATATAGTTCCCACTTGCTGACTGGAATGCTCGGACAAGAAGCCTTGTCAGCGCCTGCAATGCAAGTAACCACAAGGTGGTACCCCCCAGTTATAAGTTGGTTTGTAAACCATAGTAAGTATAGATATATCTACCATAAATCATAGTTATTGGAGTCATTTGCACCAACTTAGCTAAGTATTGTGGACATTTCTCAAGCCTGGTACGCCCGCCAAAGCTGGGCTGTTGATTGCGCGATGAAACTTGCAAGCCACCAGGGAACCGAACAGATCGCAGGATTACAAGCTGTGTATACCCATTGAGTTTGATGATTCACCAACATGGGAATTGTCCATATTTTTGTCTACGAAAGTTTGAAAGGGATCTAAAGGGTATATCATATCAAACTTCAACATATTACAAAATACTCATTATGAAAATAAGAACAATGATAACAATAGCAATCATACATAATTGAATTTACACCAAACATATAAAGTCAAGATCATATACAGTACCAAAAACCATGTTTTCACGTGACCACTTCGAAGCACCCACAGATTTCCAGGGCCGAGCCTCTGCCACAGTGCATTCCTGAGCCTCATGCGCAAGTTGCATCCTCTGCGCCACAAAGTCTTGTGCCCAACGTTCCTGGCAGCACCAACGCGACATCAAATTGATATCTATTAGGATATAAATATATATGTATAATCATATATATTTATAATATATTACACCAATATACATATCAAGTTTAGATCTATGGATGATTATATTTATTGGAATACAATAGGAATCCCATGGAAATACATTGCGATTTTTTTAAGTGGGGTCCAAAAAGTCCCAAGGATTCGCATCACTGGATTTCCCATTGGTCGGGGGTCAAAACATGTCAAAACCTCTGGTGAATCCCAGATCAGTGGCAAATGGATGTTCATCCCTCCGAAAATGAGATACCCCCTGGTTATGACTAACAGTTCGCCATGGTTTTTCGATGGCCCTAATCGAAATAGATGGTTTACCGTTCTCAATAGCATGGTGGATCTGTCCATGGCAAACTGTGAATGTCACTTAGTCATAACCAGATGGTAGGTTTTGGATGACCCAGGGACACATTGAAGTGACAATCATGGGACAAATCCATTCTGGTTGGTGGTTTTTCGCCACCCCTCTGGAAAATATGAAAGTCAGTTGGGATGATGACATTCCCAAGATATGGAAAAATAAAACAACAAATCATCAAAATGTTCCAAACCACCAGCCAGCATTTCATTCCATTTCCCGTGCCAACAAAATCTGCGATGTACAAGAACATCTCGGGTCAGTCCATTACATACTAGTATACCACACAAAAACATACACATTCTCAAAACCCATGGATAGTATCGTGGAAACATCTCCATACTTGAACCCACACTCACATGTTTGGTGGTTCACTTGTTAGTCCTTCCCACTCATCGCACATATTATTGATGATGATGATGATGATGAAGAAAATGAAACATTCAAAACACTCTTCAAAGTACCAAACAGCAAATGCTTCGGATTCTGGTTGATGAGTTCAACTGTTCACCTGCTGATGACACCCCGGAAAAGTAACATGTAAAGCACCAAAAAGTGGCCTCTTTAAGGGAAACTGCCCCCAAACCGTCGCCTCTGGAACGCCCCTGGCACTGGTGCGGTTCACCTGAATCGCTGCTTCGAAATGGCACCCCAGTGGCGGTCTATGGGAAATTCTCTGGGAAAAGCATCTACAAATAGAACTTGGTATGGGTCGATGCTTTTTTTTTTGATCAAAAATAGATCAAGAAGGGTTTGATACCAAACATGACCAAGTTTTTGCTTGCAGGGGGTCCCCTATCTTTAACTCCTCCCTATTGTACCAACCTGCAAAACACAGTTATAAACTCCTATGGTAACCTTCAGGGAACAAGGCTTTGGACCCATGCAGGCCCAGGAGTTCCAATTCTTTGGCCCCGGCTTGCAAACTACAAAAACACACAAAAGCGCGACGCACTTGCCTCTTTCCATCTGACTGCGACCATCCTACTTTTGGATTCGGTTTCCCATGAAGAAGATCTTGAGATTATGTATAGCATCCAATGATTCCTCAAATTGAGACTGCCTCTCTCAGCTCCGGTACAAAACAAACAAACAAACACTTTTTTTTTTCTCTCTCTCTCTCTCTCGCTATCGTTCTATGCAAACACCACCGATTCTTGGCCATATACACTTCCTGGTTGCGAATGGCCGATGGCCACACTATACAAAGTCCGGTTATATGTAAGCTACGAGGTTTTTCTCTCGTTAGGGCACTTGGCATCATCAAACAACACCCGAAGAACCATTGGTAAAAAAAAACATCATATAATATCATCAAAATACTCAAATAAATCATCAAAAACACACAAATATTGGTTTAAACAAATGCGCACCAACCAAGCCCCGCCTCCGCAGCAATTGCCTGGCAATCCAACAAACGCTGGCATGGCTGACTCACTCCCCGATGTTTTGGGCTTCTTTTTGGGTGAATCTTGACCAAAAACATGGCCGAAACCAGGGAGGGGTCACCGAAATAGGAGGGGTTGGTTGGATACCCATGAAAACATGGCTGACATAGCTGAAAAAAACATCCAGGTGGCGAGCTCCATATTTTCGACTTTGAACAACTCGCTGATTTTCGTCATGTGAGGTCATTCCAAAGTCGCGATGGTATCAGGGCAAATATCCTGTTGAAATTGGCTTCCCATAGCCATACCTGTTCTTGCATGGTTGATGTTCGATGCCCTGCAGTATACCTTTTTGCTGGTTGGTCTATTCTCTCTCAGCATTGCAATTTATTTAGCCCACCGAGCTTGTGGAATGATTCTATACACCCCACTCTTTAGTGCATAATCCCGCCATGGTTTATCATTTCTTGATGCTTCATTCATCTAACCCCAATCTCGACTCAGTTTCATTCCCAGCTACTGAAAAAAATGCTGGTCACTACAGTACATATTCCGCCCTTTTGATAGCAACAAGGTGGTACCCCCCAGTCATGATTGTTGGTTTTATAAACCCCATTAACTATGTCAATATATCTACCATAAATCCTAGTTAAACTGCTGCACTAAACATCACTAAACTAAATTATAGCAAATTAATGCTGCTTATATATGGGGCACCACCTTGCTATATACTCCAGCATATTCCAAATATATGACCATATATTCCAATTCTGCATCCATTATATCCTCATTAAACGGTTGGTTTCATTCCCAAGTTTGTTGATTAAATCCCATCAAATCACCTTGAATCCAACTGTGGGATAACCTAGTTTGATAATTTCATGGTACCCATAGGATCCATGTATGCTATATATGGTAACATTTATCATCAATCTACCCCAAATGTTAGCATATATACCATACATGGATCCTATGGGATATATCATGGCCGACACTTCGACAGGTACAGATGTAAAGCGCGCGTTTCCTTGGTGGCTTGGTGGCGTGGTGACAGATGTCTGGCCTCGATACCTGCCAATACCTCTCCGCTTCGAGTTTCAGATTCTTCTTTTAAATGCTGTGTTTCAGCGGCTTCAGATCAAATTGTTCATGGGTCATTAAATGTCCCCATTGAACATCACCCAACCATTAGGTATATGGTCTATAATGGCTACGATAAGGTGATGTCCAATATTCCCAAAATGGGACAGTTACCAACCCCTGAATTGTTCCACTTTGGAAACAAAAAAAGGGAGAGTGAGGGCGGTTCTCCTCAATGAAGCCACACTTGTCAGCGCTAGCTGATTGACGAATCTTCTGTTCGTATTGTTTTCCGGCCTTGGAGGCAAACAATGCGACCTTCCCCAGAAACAGTTGACGAAGGCTCCCCAGAAACTCGGCTTCGGCACCTTCGATAAATATATACTGTAGAATGTGTAAATCCCATGCCTAATGTGTTAAATATCTACTGTAAATATACCATATCTACTGTAAATCCCATGCTGGTGTTAAATGTGTTAGCCTATTCCTCCACTCTCTTTCGAAGCTGCGCTTCGACCCTCGCCTCAGGTGAAATGGCGCCAGCGCCAGGACCACGAGCCATGGCGGCGTGCAGCGCTGTGGCCTGGTACAGCCCCAAGGGGGCGGCCGCGAGAAAAAACGGGACTGGTCGTGTACAGCTTGAGTATTGTACACAAATTCACTGTATAATAGTTTGAGGGGCTCGAATCCAAGGCGGGCTACATATTTTCAGCTATACGCCCTGGAATAGGATTGCCAAATTCTTAAATTACTGCTTATATATACGTGAGGTTTGCAATTCCCCTTGCGGTTCATTTCTTTGTGGTGTGACCCCTTATGGTCTTATGGGATGAAGTCGGGCTTTGCAGAAAAACAGCTCCGCAAAAATGTGTTTTTCCGCGCTACTCTTTGAAACTCGGCTTTGAAAAAAAACAACTTTTCAGGCTCTAAAAAAGGTTTTATTCCACACTGCTCATATGAAACTCAGAGAAGCCCGGCTTTGCATATGCTTTGCATAAAAACATTTTTTCAGGCTCTAAAAACATGTTTTTTCCACACTTCTCTTATGAAACTCAGACAAGCCCGGCTTTGCAAAAAAAAATCAGGCTCTAAAAAATTATCTTTTCGCATGCCTCTTGTCAAATTTTAAGCTCGCTCCAAATTGTGCAGATGCATGCAATACATAACTAAGAATGCTCTAAGAATTTGAGGGACCTTCGGCCTATTGTGGTGTAGATTTGCCTGCATTTAAAAATAAGAATTTGAGGGACCCTGGGCCTCAAGCTTTCGCATTCTTAACCAGCTCTCGGGCTGTATAGGATAGGACCATTGAATAGCTCTTCATTCTCATCACTTGGGATATACATCAACCAACCAACCAGTAGGAAAAGGACCGTTCAAAAGTCTTTGGTGACATAGCAACCAATACCCTCTGGTAAACTAACATAACTATGGAAAATCACCATTTTTCATGGGAAAATCCACTATTTCAATGGCCATTTTCAATAGCTTTTTGTTAGTCATAACCAGAGGGTAGCAACCAACCACCGTTCCTGGAAAAGGTCCGTTTTCGCCTCATGGCGACTGAAGGGTAGGGAGAGGCCGCGACAGGCGTCCAGCCAAGCTTCCAAGGTGAGGCCTACAATGCCCCGGCTGTAGACCTCGCAACTGGACCAATCCCCAGGCGAACTGACCACCAGAAATTTATCATATTTTTTGAAGCGCCAGGAAGCAACATAAGGGACTTAACCGCCAAGAATATCCCAGGGATAGGGGATGTTGATTTAAGCAGCACATGTGATGTTGAATTGTTGGAAAATTGTTTCAGTGGATGCCCGAAATATAGCCCCAAAGTTCTAGTGTTTCAACCGCAACTGTTCGTTTCATCCATTTCTGGGATCAAAAACATCATTGGCAACGAGAAAGTACCCTCTGGTAATTTAACATAGCTATTGAAAATGGCCATTTATAGTGGATTTTCCCATTAAAAATGGTGATTTTCCATAGTTATGTTAGTTTACCAGAGGGTAGAATCACTTTCTAGCAAGCTGAATGACGAAGTTCCATGGCCAATCTTGGACGCTCCTACATTTTTCAAGAGGCTGGTTAGTAGATATCTCAAGCAGTGTAGTAGCAACAAATCAACAGATTATCATATAAAGTGTTGAACTACCCTTCACCAGGTGTCTTCCCATACGTTCATGATTCAATCCCAATGTTTATTTGATACCTCTGGTAATTCAACATAGCTCTGGAACATGTCTCATGTATGATTTATAGTTGATTTAGCTTTTCAAAAAATATTTCCATAGTTACGTGAAATTACCAGAGGGTAAAGCCCCATGTTTCATGGACCATCCATCCACTCAGTTTCTCCAGAGCGCTTCCTAAGTTCCCGGCATTCAGCGCCTGTGCCAAGGGCAACTTGCTCTGACCCATGGCGCGCGCCAGACCTTTGATCTCGTCCATGGTCACTATTTGGGGGTGGTTTCCAAAAACCCTGCTGTTGTAGTGGATCATGGCACATGGTGCTACATCTATTCTATGCATTGCAACTCTTGAATACCCTGTATGTTTACCTTTATGGCTTCCCATTATGTTTGTCTTTAGCTGATCAGTACAGTATATTTCCCTAGCTTTAGTAAAAGATTAAGTTGTACCAAAGTACCCATCCAAGACAAACCCAGTATATCCTCAAGTTGTGCCGTTGCTATGGGTCAACTATGATAATTCACTAACTTGATTTAAGGCCAACAATCTTCGCTGGCGCCGATTTGGGGATAGCTACCCCTACTAGCCACCATTCCAGTGACATCGCAAGTAAGGTTGTTATGATTCATTCAAATGCATGTCCCGATAATATACCCTCCGGTAATTCGGGATATAGCTATGGAAACCATGACCCATTTATAATGCTTTTGCCTCTTAACATGGGGATTTCCCATAGCTATGTTAGTTTACCAGAGGGCACACTCCCATTTTTCTTAGTGACAATCAAGGCTTTGGGAGCTTCCCCAGGTTGGTTTCCCCAGCTGCCAAAGCACGGCTCAGTAAGGCTGGAAGGGATGCCACTGCATCGGACACCTCTTGCGTTACCACCTGCCATGGTGACACGGGGATATTCATGGGGGCCCTGGTCACTCCAACATATATCATGTGGATGTGGGTCAAAATGGAAGACCTAGGGGACCACAGATGTTAGTCTAGTTTAGTATTAACCATCCAATTATTGGGGTACCTAATTTTGACCCATACCCATGTATGGGATTCCAAAAATAATGATGCAAAACCCATACAGAATCCGGTAAACATCTGGGAAAGGCTAAAGGCTTGGGCTTGGTACTTGAAAATTGAGGCAACAAAAACACTGGATTCAGAACCTCGTTTTCCTTGTTAACATGGCGATGACTTGGGGGTTGATGCTCACTGAGCACAGACAGACTTTCCCGTCCTGCAGATTGTCAATTTCCCCACTTGGGCCCACAAAATGAGTAGATACGAAACTCAACCAAGGGTTCAACGCGGGTGTTTAACGGTCATCCGCAGGAACTACAACATCCAACTATATAGTGTTGATTGAAATCCAATACTTGGTGTATTCCCGTCAATAACGAATGACAGAATAGCAGTAAACTATACCACCATTGTACTCCAGTGCCAATTTATATCTTATTTGTGATTTGTACCCACTGATATCCAAATATGGCATAAAATGGGAGGAATTACTTGTATGCAATGGTATTACATTCCTTTTAAATATGGGATGTCATCTGTTTGATATACACCATTTACCAACTGATGTCAAGATTGTACAAAACTGATGGAGTGCCACAACAAATTGAACAATCATGATCAATGGATGGACATGTCCATTATATTGTATGTAAAACATTGTAAAACCATTATATAAATACAATTCTATATTCTTTGATATGCTTTGTGATACATGTGAATATATAATATATAATTACATGCGCATATCTTATGAAATACCGTCTGGTAAACTAACATAACTATGGAACATCACCATTTTTAAAAGGTAAATCAACTATAAATGGCAATTTTCAATAGCCATGTTAAATTACCTTATGCAATAGAAGGAAAATCCACCTGACCTCCAGGGCGGCACCTCGCGTTGAGGTTCCAAGGCTCGATGGAATTCCTCGCGAGACACACCGCCGTCGCCGTTCTTATCCTGGCACCGCGGAGGCTTTCGCACCGGCTACGGCAAGGGGGGTGCCCCACAGGGAGCTAAGTCGCGATTTGTTGGATTTGTTGCTTCTGTTCTCAGTACTGTACCGGTAACTTAAGTCGGATTTATACTGCTTGGTGGTTTCAACAACCCCTCTGAAAAATATGAGTTCGTCAGCTGGGATGATGAAATTCCCAATATATGGAAAAAAAGAACATGTTCCAAACCACCAACCAGATAGTATATAGTGAATGAAAATAGTAGATGCATCAAACTAGTGAATTGGTTTTGTGAATCGACAAACATAACTGGATGCATCACCTTGTATCCAGAACTGAACGCTGAGGAGATAGCCAGGAACAAACAAAAAGTCAATTGCTCAAAACCACCATTTTCAATCATTTTCAGGTATCCATTTTTTAGGGCAAAGTCATACTTCGAGGCTTTGCGGCATAGCTTTACCTGGGGTACCAAAGCCATATTGTGCCATGATCACAAGCTGGTCATCCATCTACTGGGAATCCAAACATCATGACCATCTCTCAAGACCATATCCCACCATATCCGCAGGAAAAAAAAATCTATCCCAATACAGTAAGTATTCCCGTAGAATTCTCGAGTTTAACTCGTATCATTTCATATATTTCATGTCCCATGTTTGTCCCATCCTTACATCATATGGGTATGGGTCAAAATTAGGTACCCCAAAATTATGGATGGTTAATACTAAACTAGACTAACATCTGTGGTCCCCTAGGTCTTCCATTTTGACCCACATCCATATCATGTTGCCATCGCAACGGGGAAAAAAACTCAGCCAGTTGCACAAAGAGCTGCCACAGTCGCCGCAGTTGTCCATCCGTCAGGGTGGGGTCCAACCTAGGCGAGGCTAGCTGAAAAATGGAGGTTTATAGCTGGGGAAAAAAAAACATGGGAAAATCATGGCAACTATAGGAAATCTATGGAAATCTCCTAGAGGTATCTATAAATGGATATAAAATGATATAAATGGAGGTTTATAGCTGGGAAAATCATCTATATAGATGATTATAGATTATAAATGAATATATGATATATCAAGGGTGGATAATGGTGGATTTGCCAGCAAGGCATGTTTGATTACCGGAGGGTAGCAACTTCTCGGGAAAATCTATAGGAAGTTTGCTGCATATACAATTCGCACCCACATTTTTGATATTGATCCATAATCAATGGTCGTTCCAGGATCCTAAAATGGAGGTACTGTACCGTATCAGACTTGTAGCCAGTGACACAATCCCATCCTTGTTTCCCACTGTTCCCGCAGTGTCGAGTATGAACCACATTCTGTACTTTACATCAGAATAAGATTGAAAATGGAACATTTTGGAACAAAATTTGGATCACATTTTGGATCACATTTCTCCAAAGGTGGGGAGAATGGAACACACAAACTTACACCCACTGGGATCCCAAATTTGTCTCCATGATCGGCTGAAATTGGCTACCTCCAAATCTGGGCTTCGTCATCAGTATCCCTTTCAAGGGGTATACCCCATTTTCAAATCAATTTGGTTGATGATCTATCCCACCATAATAAATCGTATATATCATATATATCATAATAAATGGTATATTCCATTCCATTTCAAGGGGTATGCCGGTATGCCCCATTTTCAAAAATCATAATCCATTTGGTTGATGATCTATCCCAATTGTATCCCATAAGATTCCACATATTCCAATCATCGACCCGATGGAAAAACCCGATGGCCATGGCATCATGGCGCAACGAACAGACAGGGCGCCCTGCGAACAAACACTTCGGACACTTCCAGTCACCCTCTGGTAAATCAATCATCAATGGTAATCAAATATATAACACACCAGGAGTGTTTGAATATATCACCATATATCAATATAGCAAACTGGAACATCACCATATATCACCGTCTGGTATAGTGAAACAAATTGGCCATTTTCCACAATATCCCATCAATCTCACATCTATATTCAATTCATATAGAAAACATATCAATATGTCATAATCCCCCCAATATACCACCATTTTCATCCGCGTTCCTCTTGCTCAATCTATTCGTTTCCACAAAACCTGAGGACCTCACCGGGCAAAGAGCCCCCGGAAATCTTGCCAGTGAATCTCCGCGCGGCCACCTTTGGTGCCTGCAGAAAACACGATGATCACCTTCAATAAGTCGGGAGACGTCGGGATATGTCGGGATATGGGGCCCGTATAATTATACTGCTTGGTGACCATTTTGAAAAATATGAAAGTCAATGGGAAGGATCACATCCCATATATGATGGAAAATAATCCAAATGTTTGAAACCACCAACCGGTTATGGCTGTACAACAACTTATAAGTACTTTTCATGATAGGAAGTGACACCTCCAGATATGGGTATCCTGTATCCTGGCTGGGGGTATGTTTAAAAAATAGCAGAATCACGGAAGACTTTGGAAAAATTCATCTGTCCAATATTTTCCCAAATGGGGGTACCTAAAACGGGTACCCGGTACCCCCATATCATCCATGTTCAAAGTATTTTCCACTATAAACCATCCATTTTGAGGAACCCCCATTGTAGGAAACTTTCATATGTTTCCCATCGTCCCACTTTTTCCATGTCCACCGAAAAGGGCGCCTGCCAGGGCCTCGAACAAGTCATCCACGCTGCGGTTCTCCCGCTGCAGCGCCTCTGCAGAAGATATATATATATATATATCTCGCTGGGTACCTAATCGCTAATCATTAATATATATATATATATATATATAATATGATCAAATCATTAATGATACATGGTCATATGACATAATCAATGATATGATATATGGTCATACATATATATTATATATTATATAATGTATATCATGTGAATTGGAACATAAAGTGTGATTGCTGATTATATGGTCTATGATTATGGTTACTATGGTTTTCCAGGTCATCCCGTGCCATAGATTAACCCATGAGAATCCATGGCCTTAAGATGGGTTCATCGAAAAATCCCTCCGTAAAAATGTACTGGTTGGTGGTGACTTGACCATCGTGAAAAATATGACTTCGTGAATGGGAAGGATGATCTACCATCTGGTTATTTAACATAGCCATGGTATAGATGGTCCACAGAAATAGATGGTTTACCTATTAATAGCATGGTGATTTTCCATGGCAAACTGTTAAATAACCAGATGGTATATGAAATGGAAAAATAATCCAAATGTTCCAAACCACCAACCAGATTTTTTGGTAGCCTCGTGTAATTTTAGTATCAATTTGTTACATCGCGATGGAAGCCATGGCCCATTGAATTCTAGATGATTCACCTCTTGATAGTGGTGATGTTCCGCAACTGGGAAATCACCAGGGGGTAACCTGGGGAGGTAACAAACAATGGCACCTCTGGATGGCTGACCAAGATCATTGGATCTAGCAATCTGGCAATAGTACAATGTTGAGGTCACAATAACCTAAAAATAGATGCGGATATTCAAATATGCGCAGTATATAGTATATCTCATGGACATGAATATGTAATGGTGTGACCAAAATGAACAAAGCCCTCAAACTTAAGTTTGCTGGCAGGGCAAACAAAGCATCATCACAGCACAGATCGAATCATATACGGTACGTAGCTACCATTAGACACATTACTGCCAAACCAAGAAACAAATCCATATCAGTAAGTCAGTGAGTGACCTTTATCATTCTTTACTTCATTGTAATATATAATAACTATAAATGTCATCAAGTTCATGTCATCCAACCACGTGGCAGACCATGAACGAGGCAGGGGAAACAAAAAATGGGGATCACTTGATCCCTGTTTGGTTGATCCCTGGGCTGAACCACCAAATGTATCATGTTCCCATTATTATCCATCCGTTTCTACTGCAACTCACGATGAATTTCATGTCCAACAAAAAACAACTCTAGGATCCCCGTGAACAACAAAAACTTATGTTGTCACACGTGTCCTACTTTATCCCTAATCTATTCTCATTATTTCACCATTCATTCCACTCTTAATTGGTCGAATCCGTATTTTTGCTGGTCAAGTCAGCAATTTTGGCAATCTGTCATCATTCATGATGACAATGTCCAATAATATGTCCCATTGTATCACCATCATTATATATATAGTAATCCCTAAAAAGATAGAAACGTGTTTCCAGGATGGTATAGATGTTGTTTACCTAATATTTCCAGTTTTCCAACTTTTCTATCTATCTATCTATCTATCTATATATATATATATATATGTATATATGTCTATACATATGTATACTGTGTGGGTAAAACAAAAATAAACCATACATTTGGGAATGGATCCTACCACCTATAAACATGGTGATTTGGGGGATGGTTTATGGCATTGTTCTACCCGCATTACACACATATCTTCCATAGTTTTCCATACATATCCCTATTCCATTGTTCCCCCATGGTATGCAGGTTTCAGAAAATCACAATATATTTATATATATATACTATATATATATATACTATATATATATACTATATATATACTATATATATATATACTATATATATATATATATATCCCCATTCTCTCCCCACTGAAACTCCTGGTTACTAAGCACCTCATCTTGGCAGCCCCACCTGCGAGACCCTGGCGCACACGTCTTCCGCCCAGCTACCAAAGGCCTCAACGTCATCGGTGGCTTGAAGTTTAAGGATGGTTGGTTACCTAATGGGATTTTATGGGATTATAGTGATTTAATGGGATCATAGTGGAATTATTACAGGAACTAATGATATATACCCCCTAACTATTGAACATGGCCATAGAAATAGTTGAATTTCCCCATTAAATAGCTGGTGATTTTCCAGTTCGCGAACTGTTAGTTTACCAGGACCGCTGGGTACTGATATACTTATATATATATATATAGGTTACTTATCTCGGACTCAGTTTGGTTCGGTAACTAGGTATGGAACACATGGAAACCAACAAAAATGCGGAGCTTGAGAATAAGTTGAATCCAATGCATTTTTTGGGGGTCAACGATCAACTTGCAGCAACCTTTTCTATCTGTCTCTTTGGGTTACTTTATTGGAAACCTACTGGCTTTCACCATTGAAACTGGGGCTACCTTAGATTGTCCCTAAATTTCTGGAATATGGTTTGGCAATGATTGATATGGATGGTACATTTGGGTCCGATGACATTTCTGGGGCTGAAAAATTTTCGGGTGCAAGAATTGTTATCCTCTGGTAATCAAGCATGGCAATGGAAATCCACCATTTATACAGTAGTTGATTTTCCCACTCAGATCTCCATTTATAGGGGGTTTCCCATTGCCACGTGTGGTTACCTGAGGATCCCAGAAAATATCACAATATGAACTTCGAAACGTGCGAGGTTGTGAGCAGCGCAATGTGGCAACATCAAATTGGGTCTGAGGACAGGGTACCCCCACTTCAAAATGAACAACCTGCTTGCCTGGCTGAGGGCATGGCGCCGAGGCAAAATGACAAACCCAAACAGAATTGTGTTGGTTATATAAGTTATATATGAATCTATTTCCACCATCTACATATCTCAGCAAATCTCTCCATTCTGTTTCCAATATTTCCAATGTATAGATGTGCTATCCCCGCCACAACGTTCCCCATGATATTTGCATTTTTGCTCGTTAACACCGCACTGTTTGGCCGCTGAAGTCCATTTTTTTGCTGCAAGATGGGCTTCCCCAACGATGGCAGAGACACTGGCGCTGGCGACTGCCTGAGACGATCGGTGCGGAAACGTCATGAACAACGGTGGTTACGGATACCCTCTGGTAAACTAACGTAGCTATTGAAAATGGCCATAGAAATAGTGAGTTTTCCCATTAATAGCATGGTGATTTTCCATAGCTATGTTAAATTACCAGAGGGTAAAGTCAACTAAGAATGTGTTACTGTTACGCAGTTACCAAGAATATGATCGCCAAACATAGCTGTTTGTCTATGGCTAGCCTAAACGATGCAATTCATTTCCATGTTGAACCAATCATTTTTGTGTGTAGTGTTGTAAAACTGCCCCTGAAGCTCTGAGAGAAGGGTTTTTTGGGCTGTTTCACCAGCCACGCCAACTATGAATTCATAGTTGGGGATCATCAGGCCTCCATTCAATGGATTGGTTTAAGGGAAAAATTACAGGAAACCAGGGTTTTTACCATTAAAGATGGGGTTTTCCTGTAAATTTTCCCCTGAACCAATCCATTGATCCATCCCTGCCAGAGGCTTGGCAGATTACTTTCAGTGTGCTATTTTCAGTCCTGACTGGGTATCATGGTCCCATTGGAGTTGGCAGAGATTCGCTCCCTGTATGCTAGGACGTCCTAAATTTGCACTGTGTATATGTTTGAGATGTCTATGTACAACATCTACGTGTACAATATGTATGTAAGCAGAACGTATCATATACTCTTGCACTCGTGCATACCAAACTAATTAAATACCGCGATAATATATGTTTATATATGATAATATATATATATAGTTATATAAATGCAATCATATAATAGTTTGTATACAGTACTATACTATGAGATATACATATAAACACAGCTGCCAGTCTCAAATACCATCTATTTGTTTCAATCTAGTGAGTATAAAGTGTGGTAAATGTTTAACCCAAACTATTGAAGTATACATGACTTTTATTTAACTATTCATCCAGTTACCCTCTGGTAAACTAACATAGCTATTGAACATGGCCATTTATAGTGGATTTACCCATTAAAAAATGTGATTTTCCATAGTTGCGTTAGTTTACCGGAGGGTAGCTGCACCAAATATCATATGCATTTCCCAGGTCATGGGTCGTCATCATACCCCAATAAACCATTAAAACTAAAACCCATATCTTACGATTGAAAACCACATGTTTGCTGGTGAAACATATCAGGTTCCCCATATTTCTGCTGCTTCACTTCCAACTCAATAAGTCATCATCAGCCATCGTTTCTCCGTAATGTCCAGTCTTAATCTTTTTACTGGTTCAAACTCAGCCTAACTATGGTCAACTTCCAATAAACATCGCCAATCAAGAACTACATCATCCGTCATTTAAATTTTGTTATCCCCAAATATTAGTGGTAAAATCCCAAACACGCAGTGAAATTTTAGTGGTAAAACTCCAATATCACACGTGTAGATATATATCATATGTATATTATATATATATACATATCACACACACACATATATATATATATATACATATAGAATATACATATATATATATATATATATATCACAATTATATTGAAATCACTGATATCCCATATGATCATGCTTTAAATTTCCCCCATTTCATCACCCAGCTCAACGGCGTCCAGGCACCGTCTCCAACTCCCTGAGACTGATCCGCCCATCGCTGTTGGCATCCATCCTGGCGACCAACTTAAAGGGTGCAGCTTGCGGGGCCCCACTTGGTAAATGGTTAAACAAAAACCACCAGTTATGTACGGTAGTATATATATATAATATATGTATATATATATATTATGGGATTACCTATATGGGATTTTATATGTATATATATATATATCTTATGGGATTCTATCTATATATCCTCATGTATGCACACATGTATATATATATATATATGGATTATGAACCACAGATCCGATAGGTGGGATGCACATCCAAGTAGGGAGCCATCCCTGGCAACATGTGGATTTGAGGCGATAGAGTATATAAATGTGATGATTCGAGCCGCGAAATCTATCTTTTGATGATGATACAGCAGATGATAATATATATATATATATATATGGATTGACTACCTATCCAAGGTTGGGGACTTGGGGACTTATATAACTTACACATCATACATTATACTTTATCTGGTTGGTGGTTTTAACCATCTTGAAAAGGATGAAAGTCAATGGGAAGGATGACATCGCATATATTATGGAAAATAACAAATGTTCGAAACCACCAACCAGTCAAATGATGATATTAATGATGATTATTTGATAATAATGATGACTATAATGATCATAATGGTCAGATGATTTCAAATGATGATAACAATGCCAAAAACCATGAAGGCATTTATATAGGTCACACGAGTTTCTATTCGTTCTAGGAAAAAGATATGGAAAAGGCGTGACTTACAAGAAAACTTTCGCCCAAGCTAAATACAAATGTTTCCACGAAAAAGCCACAACACAGTCTTTTGCCTGTATCCAGTTGAGCCATGAAGAATACCCTAAACCCCCATCCCATTCTGGAGGTTTGTTGATAGGCATCCCTATTCCGGGTTGTGATTGTCCTCAATAAATCAGGCAGCATTTGTTTTAAAGCCACATGTCATAACCCATCAACCATCAACCATCAACCAACCATCATGGGTTACCTCGCCATCTTTGACCGTCAACATTTCTGTAATAACTCATCAATCATCATTTCACATGTCCATTTGGATCCATTATCTACATCAAACATATTATTGCCGGTTCAACAATACACTAGCTAACTATGTAAAAATGAATGATGTATAATATGTATATATATATATATATCTATTATGTTGTTTTTTTCTTAATGGCTCACCTGGGCGTATCTAAGAGAACACCTCCTTGCGCCCACCGCAGGACGCGCAGGACGCGTCCTTCGCACCACCAGCATTCTCTCGTGAGCTGAGAAGAGATCCTCTAAACAGCGGGGCCAGGGGTAAGGACCTTGGGGTTACCCCAATAGCTGGATGTTTATTTCATGGAAAAACCCACAGAAAAAGGATGATAACTGGAAGGACCCCTATTTCAAGAAACCTCCACAGAAATGGGCCTGAAACAAAAGCTTTTTCTTGCCATAAAAACCATCAAAACTGTTAAACTCATGGTGGTTTAAACGTTTAGCAATGAAAAACACATAGAGATTGACATGATTTAGCAAATGCATGATGGAACCAAATGAGATACAATGGGAAATTATCGCGAGCACCATGAATGCATAAATAGGAATATATCTAAAGTTATATATAATTGTAATCATATATGTATATATACACGCAGTATAACCGGAAACCAGCAGAACATGATATTGAACAAGTGGTGGTGAGGGATACAGGAAAGGTCACCCAGACTATAAGTGGGATCTTGAGCAAATAACAAGGCATTCGACTCGATCGAAGAAGCATTGGCGTTTTTCAAGAATGGGGACATCACCCTCACAAAGAATAGATTTCAACATATATAGTTATATAATAATATATATATATATTATAACATAATCTATACACATATATAGCATACATAATATAATACAATATAATATAATATAGTATAATAAAATATAATATAATAAAATATAATATAATATTATAATAATATATTATAAAATATAATATGATATAATATAATATAATATGATATAATATAATATAATATAATACAATATGATATAATATGATATGATATAAAATTAAAACCAAATATGATATAATATGATATAATTTATGATATTATATAATATGAAATAATATACTATAGTAAAATATAATATAATATAATATCATAAAATATAATATAATATAATATCATAAAATATAATATAATATAACACAATACAATACACTACAATACAATATAATATAACACAATACAATACACTACGATACAATATAATATAATATAGTATAATATAATATACTATAATATAATATGATATATATATATATATACACAGTTGTGAAAAATAGAGTGGTTCATCTATGTTACCACCGCTCCAACAAATGTCAAATATATGTGGTTGGAATACTACTCCTTGCAGTCATCTCGTATTTCATGGGGAATTATGAATTCTGAGTTTGTTGTTTCGTTACTTGGCGGACGGTATGAAAGTCTGTGTTGATTTGTGCTGAGGGGAATTTCATCCAAATCCCAGGTTTATCAGTAAATGGTTTCCACAAGACACCAATAGCTACCAATAGCTACCAATAGCTACCAGTAGCTACATATAGCTACATATAGCTGGGAATATTCTACATATAGCTGGGAAATGCTGGGAATATTCCATGTGCTAAAAACTCCATGTTTTGCGACATGACCCAGCGAAATTTCATCGATGGCCCCCCCTTCCTTGGTGATCTCAGCGATGGCCGATTCCATCTCTGTCCGAGAAAGGCCTCAGATTAGTCACCATCCCAATAGCCTCCTGTAATCAAAGATGAATCGCTCGAAAATCCCTTCTACCCTCTGGTAAACTAACATAACTATTGAAAATGGCCCAGTCGAAATAGTTGATTTACCAATGAAAAATGGTGATTTTCAATAGTTATGTTAAATTACCAGAGGGTAAATGGAGGTTTCTGGGGAAATCATCGAACTATTGTCTTTCGCCAGGTCAGAAAGCTGCTGGGATAGCGAGTTGGACAACCCAAAACACCTGAGTTTTGACTTAAACTATGTCAACCAGAAACATACCCTCTGGTAACATACAAAAAGCTATTGAAAATGGCCATTTGTAGTGGATTTTCCCATTAAAAATTGTGATTTTCCATAGCTATGTTAAATTACCAGAAACATAGTTAGTGTCTTTTAGCCAACAACAACCACTCTTGCCAAACTGTTTTTATTCTTTTCTAAGGAATGACAAGTGCATGCACATGGCACCAATTGTGGAACTGTGGAACGTGTTTGGAAAGTTCATGACACAAATCTCGGTTGATGATTATCAATCACACGCAAACTTGTGAGGGGATTTAGGGGTACACCATATTGACTAACCCGTGGTGCTTTACCCAATCAAACATCCAAACCAACCATGTGGGGGTCATAGTAAATATCATCCCAAAACGAAGCTTACCTATATAATTTTAACCAAAATTGGGGACGGTTTACTATTGGCTTTACTAAACGATGGCTTTTCTGACAAACGTTTGCTTAGTTTTACTACATGTAGATCGCAACTAATCCACCACTTCTGCTGAGAAAGTCCCAATTTTCCACGCTTACTACCCCCAACATCCCCATCTGTTAAGCACCAGTCTCAGACCTTCCCATGTCCCACCAGGGCATCCCAAGGTTCCCAAGGCCCCCTGCAGCCATCTGCCCCAGGCTGGTACATGTGAAAGGCCTAGCCGTTGGCACAGCCGGCCGATGAGGCACGAGGTGAAGTTTAGAACGGTGGATCATGAATGTTGTGCGGGTAAACTAACATAGCTATATGGAAAACCCCATGGTTTCCCTATAAAAACTTAGTGCCCAGGGATGCCCAGGGTAAACGAACTATGGAAAACCCCTAATGGTTTTTCGGTTGCCCTAAACTGATCTACAAATGCTGTTTTTTTTCCAGATCTATGTGAGTTTACCAGAGGGCAACCATGCCTACTGGGACGTATAGTAAATATGCAATGGTTTCTGAAATATTCTGAAATGCCGAATACCTCGATTTATGAGAGGGCTAAGAACAAAAACATGTATATAATACTTGGGAATGGTTTATTCCATGCACACCCCCTTGACATCCATTCACGCAGGATGAGTTCCCCAACCAATTGGAGCCCATGACTCGCCGTGGCCATATTTATGGCAGGTTCTTCTAGGGGGAATATAAAGTAGGATCGCAGGATGTGTGATCAAAGTGATCACTACTAGGAACCCTCTCCTGCAAGGATATTGGTTGCGGGGGTTGAGCAAAACTTTTCTGAGAACGTAACCACCACTCATTCGATGGCGGAAATTAGAGGGTTGGATGTCTATACATGGTTACATGGTTCTGGGCAAATTATCATAATTCACTAACCTGAAATAAGGCCATGATTCCAGGGTTCGGTCGCAATGAGGTCGTCATAATTTGCCCAAATGCATGGTCAATGGTTCATTCCAAACCATTGGGATTAATTGGCATTGGGATTAATTGGATAAATTCATAGTTTGTAGAACCATTAACCATTAACCATAATAATAACCATGAACCATTAACCATAATAATAACCATTAACCATTAACCATAATAATAACCATTAACCGTTAGCCATCGTTAATAGTATATACTATTGGGATAAATTGGCAAAAGCCTTCTCCCCTGTCGAATGGTGGAACCATGACATGTCCCCCAAATCCAGGCCATGATGCCATGGCATGTTCAGGGTCAGTGTATCAGTGGAGTCACATTCAAGACCAGATTTTGTTGGATAGAGTATAATATTACAATAATTAAAAATAATTAAACAATATTAATATATATATTAATCATCATTAGTGGATTTTTTGGACATGGATATAATGGGTACTTGTTGGTTCCAAACTGCAAGTTGGGCGATATTTTGCACGCAGCCTCAAAAAATGCACACGGAGTAGAATCACAAGCTGCTAACCAAAAAACTAGAAGACGCCAAAGTACGCAGGGTGTTTGGCAAAAATACACCTTTGAGGATATGCAAATCTTCATGACGTATTGAATCTATTGTCAAGCTCTCAAGACTGCTTGGAAGGTTCACTCCTGCCAGGCTCTGGTTGAAGTGTGTGCCGAATGTCAAGCTCTGAAGATTGCTTGGCAGGTTCACTCCTGCCAGGCTCTGGTTGAAGTCATAGCCGAATGTCAAGCTCTGAAGATTGCTTGGCAGGTTCACTCCTTCCAGGCTCTGGTTGAAGATACCGCCTAATGTCAAACTCTGAAGATTGCTTGGCAGGTTCACTCCTTCCAGGCTCTGGTTGAAGTCATAGCCGAATGTCAAGCTCTGAAGATTGCTTGGCAGGTTCACTCCTTCCAGGCTCTGGTTGAAGTCATCGCCGAATGTCAAGCTCTGAAGATTGCTTGGCAGGTTCACTCCCTCCAGGCTCTGGTTGAAGTCATCGCCGAATGTCAAGCTCTGAAGATTGCTTGGCAGGTTCACTCCTTCCAGGCTCTGGTTGAAGTCATCGCCGAATGTCAAGCTCTGAAGATTGCTTGGCAGGTTCACTCCTTCCAGGCTCTGGTTGAAGTCATGGTCGAATGTCAAGCTCTGAAGATTGCTTGGAAGGTTCACTCCTGCCAGGCTCTGGTTGAAACACCAGCCGAATGTCAAGCTCTGAAGACTGCTTGGCAGGTTCACTCCTTCCAGGCTCTGGTTGAAGTCATAGCCGAATGTCAAGCTCTGAAGATTGCTTGGCAGGTTCACTCCTTCCAGGCTCTGGTTGAAACACCAGCCGAATGTCAAGCTCTGAAGATTGCTTGGCAGGTTCACTCCTTCCAGGCTCTGGTTGAAGCCATCGGTGAATGTCAAGCTCTGAAGATTGCTTGACAGGTTCACTCCTTCCAGGCTCTGGTTGAAACACCAGCCGAATGTCAAGCTCTGAAGATTGCTTGGCAGGTTCACTCCTTCTAGGCGCTGGTTGAAGGTACCGCGTAATAACAAGCTCTGAAGATTGCTTGGCAAGTTCACTCCTTCTAGGCTCTGGTTGAAGAAATACCCGCATGTCAAGCTCTGAAGACTGCTTGGCAGGTTCACTCCTTCCAGGCTCTGGTTGAAGTTAAGGCCGAATGTCAAGCTCTGAAGATTGCTTGGCAGGTTCACTCCTTCCAGGCTCTGGTTGAAGTCATGGCCGAATGTCAAGCTCTGAACATTGTTTGGCAGGTTAACTCCTTCCAGGCTCTGGTTGAAGTCATCGCCGAATGTCAAGCTCTGAAGATTGCTTGGCAGGTTCACTCCTTCCAGCCTCTGGTCGAAACGATAGCCGAATGTCAAGCTCTTAAGATTGCTTGGCAGGTTCACTCCTTCCAGGCTCTGGTTGAAGTTATAGCCGAATGTCAAGCTCTGAAGATTGCTGGGCAGGTTCACTCCTTCCAGGCTCTGGTTGAACTCATTGCCGAATGTCAAGCTCTGAAGATTGCTTGGCAGGTTCACTCCTTCCAGCCTCTGGTTGAAGTCATGGCCGAATGTCAAGCTCTGAAGATTGCTTGGCACGTTCACTCCTTCCAGCCTCTGGTTGAAGTGCGTGTGATATGCCAACATTTCAAGCGTCTGTGGGAGAAGGTCAGACTGCACAGTAGATGCACCTACGATCTGCGTGATCCCCTGTAGAACAAACTCTCCCTCAGGGACTGGAGATCCTTGCCTCTGGATGAAACAGTAGGCTGCGTACAAATCTGTTGGAACAGAAGTGCAAGAAAGTGTCTCTTCTTTGCCCACAATGCCTTGCTCTTGCAGTGTTTGATGGAGCATGAGCTGCACACCAAGGTACTGCAAGGTGAGTTGTTCGCCTTTCTTTGGTTGAAACTGCTTTGAGACCAGCCGATGTACTTCGCAACCCAAAGAGCAAGAACTAAGTCTCAAGATACACCCTTCACCAGTCAGCCGTAGTACATGAAGATCAATCAGGTCTGAGTCACTGAGCACCATATAGGCGGCACAACTGGCAGGAGCACTGGTCGACATCTGTTCAAACTCCGTGAGGGACACCGGGCTTTGCCGGCGCCGGTCAAAACCTGCTTGGTACCGGGGACTTCAACATATTTGAAACATTTTGAAACCACCAACCTGGGAATGTATCTTCTGGGATCAATGATCAATGGTTTCAATGGCTTCTCCCAAGGTGATCAGCAAACAATGATAGTGTGCAAAAAAACAAGAAAGCGGCTAGGAGATTCAGCAATGGAAACGGGAAATATGGGAAATCCTTTGTGCCTGGACGGATGAGGTTGGGATCAGGTCTGGTGTTTTTATCAATCTGTGCTGAATATCTGTGCTGAAAAAAAAACCGCCTCGGGCCAATTTTCATCCACACTTCCCATGAATCATGGCCTACCATAGATATACATATAGTGGAGGAGATAGTAGAATATCATAGAATATCTATGGTAGAAAGCCAGTGGATATCGGAGATAATAGAAACTCCCAGTGGATATCTATGCCATGGTATAATTTATAAATATATATCCACTGGCTTTCTCCAGATAAAAAAAATGCCGTGCCGCCTGTGACTCCGATCTTATGATCTTCTTGCCACGCTCCAGTTGGTCCAGCGGCCAGTTGCTAGCGGCATCAGACTTTCCAATTGCTGTATATAATATATATATATATGATAATGATAGATAGATAATGATAATGATGATAATGATGATAATAATGATAATGATAATGATAGTATACAGATAGATAATGATAATGATAGTATACAAATAGATAATGATAGATATACATATCCACGGGCACATATATATATATATATACATACATTAACTACATATGGACCCAAAAGCGATAGAACATTATATAACATTCCTATTTGAGTCGGATGTTTCTTGTCATTCTTTTTTGGGAGTTCTTATCTGCCCACGTTCCTGGGCTTCGGCTGTTGATTGAACCCCCAAAAAAACACCAGTGAAATCCCTGTGCAAATAGCCTCATGTGTCTTCATTGGTGATAAACATGTGTAATGATTAGTAATCATCATAATGATGACAATAACACAAAGTGGTGTTCCGGATTATCTTTCTTGGTTCATAAGCCATATAAAGATATATCATGATATCTATCTATCTATATATATATATACTATGATGATAATATTATATAATATTAATATGTTATATACATATCTACCAGTACCATAAGTCCGTTCACTAACCTACTGAACTAAACACAGTTAGCTAGCAAACTGGGGTGGTATGCCTAATATACAATAACCCCCTCCCTTTTGACATGGGTTGTATGAACGCTCAAGAATTGAAAGTTCATGATTGGGTTTACCACATTGTCAACGGCTCAATTCATCAAAATTTCATCAGATCCTCGCGCTAGTGTTGGATAATACATACAATATTATAATCCCTGTCACATCCCCATGATATTCCCATGATATTCCCATGATATCCCGTGATTTCCAATGGACTTTCCTATGATTTCCCCCACCTTTTTTCGGGACAATGGGCCCCACAACATCGACTGGGCCCCGCCTTCTCCGTTCCTCCGAAGCGTTTCAAGGCCTTGCCCAAGCGACCCATCAGAATGGCCGCATGCTCGTCCTGCGACAAACTGGGCGTACGGTAGAGCAACATCATGGACAAGTATTTGATGATATATTACTGTATATATATATAGTATTCATATGTATTAATATGATCATTGAGATATAATCTTATATATAATCTATAATATTAATATGATCATTGTGATTATTGCTACTTTACTATTGTGGGGATGTTGATTTATCTTGATTCTTGTTGTTAGTCCAAGTGCTCCTGGTCGTTAGCTAAGTTGGTAGTTGGGGGCAGTAGGTTACGATTGGATTATGGTAGATAGTCAATGGTAAACTAACATAGCTATGGAAAATCACCATTTATAGTGGATTTTCCCATTAAAAATGGTGATTTTCCATGGCTATGTTAGTTTACCAGAGGGTATCTACCATGGGGGTTATACACCAACCAACATAATTGGGGCAATTCTCACACTTGAGATCCCAGCAAGTTAAGTGATCGAAGTGGCCACATGATGTAGTTTTTGAACAATAAATACCCTCTGGTAATTTAACGTAGCTATTGAAAATGGCCATTTATAGTGAGTTTTCCCATCAAACATGGTGATTTTCCATAGCTACGTTAAATTACCAGAGGGTAGAACTTGGATGATATTCAAGCGATTAAGCCCTAAAAGAAACTAGCCGGGCCCCTATCCCATTATAAATTATAGTTGGTTGGTAAGTTTCCCTACTATAACTTATAATAATCCTCGTCCCGGTAGTTTTACTCCCATGTCATAACCAATCAACCAGGGATTTTTTCATGGCTCAATTGAGGTGGATATGTCCACCAACTAACAAGTGGAAATCATCTTGGATTTGTGGCCCACAAGACTCCGGATATTTACCTCTTCCTCAAGACCTCAAGAGAAATGGGAGTTGTAATGGGCCAAATGGTAATTACACAAAACAAACAATGGGTATGCAACACACATCAACACACAAATAGAGATATGACGGACACTTAAATGGAGATACAAACCACCAAACATGAGCTTAAATATGATAACAAAAAAATAATGATTCCACTCAAGAACCAAACATGGGGAAACTCACCAACAAATAATGTAGAAGACTTTGATGGCCCAAGGCAAATAACCCAAGCCGTATTGGATGAGCCCAGTTGCAAGTAGGAATTGACCCAACTGCCATGGTTCTCAGTTTTGCTTTTAAACATCATGGGCAGCCAAAAAAAAGCTCAACATGGTTCATCTATGTGACAGGCAATCTTAGGTACCCTATGGTACCCTGCTGTGTCTAAGGGCATTCCATATGGAAACAACTTCGAATGATGTTTCTGGGTAAATTATAATATTTCACTAACCTGAATTAAGGCCATTTGGGGATGATTTTCCTTATTAACCAGGATTTCCAGTGAGGTCGCAGTGAGGTCGTTATAATTTACCCAGATGTTTAAAACATTGTCAATTGTTCCCCTGGCAAAAGACGAACGCATTGATCTACCCGACCTGAAACTTTCTGAGTTTCTTAACCGCCATTCTAAGCATCAAGCTTTCAGAAGGGCCCACTAAAAATCCTTCTTCCATACCAATAAAGCACAGATTCTGTATCCTTATATATATATATAGTTATAAAAATATGGTATTACATGCATATGTATGTATATACTGTATGTATATCATATATAATTATATAATTATATATATACACATTATGGACACACCGACGATCCATCCTGAGTATAGCAAATGTATCACCGGATCACCATGTCTGCTCAACAGTTCCTTTAGATTAACCCAGTGCAAGCAAACCACCAAACAACACACACTGAAGTTAGGAACGTCCCACTCGATCGACCGCCCGATTCATGTATCTCAAAATTGGCCTCAATGTCTCAATATGTTTGGACAGTTTACCTAATTACCAAATAAAACTAATGCATATATTGCACTCTTGCGCATCTCGGTCACGTGAGTTAGGAAGATCCTCGAATTCACTGGGTTCAAACAAAGATCTACCGGAAACCATACTGGCGCCATTTTTCTCCGTAGTAACAGCGTTAGAATCGGTAAACCTAGGTAAACCTACCACTTCTACATCCAAACGTACCATCCAAACGCAAGAAATTCGCTTCCCACCAGCTCCACGGTCCGACATGGTGTCATCATCCTTCTCTCCAGGCATTGGAGACAACTCCACCTCGAAGGAACCATGTGGCACATGGCCGTTCTTGACCATCAAGTAGACAGATCTATATGCATGTTATGTGTGTATACATACATATATATATATATATATATGTATATAGTCATATATATATATACAGTATTCAATATTCAGATATTATTGTGTATATCATTGTATGTATGTATATATAAATTTCATATATTTAAGATATGTGGAGAAAGGATACAGTCGGCCTTCTTGGCATTTTTACGCCAATGTATGGAACATGGACATGATCCCATTCAACGTCGGATCTCGAAGAATCCAGCACCGCTTAATCCACGTAGGATCCTACAAGTCTCGGGGGTCTCCAATTGTGACACACAGGCCCAATCTGGTTGGTGGTTTTTCGCCACCCCTCTGAAAAAATATGAAAGTCAGTTGGGATGATGACATTCCCAATATATGATATATGATGGGAAAGTCATGAAAAATTCCATGGTTCCAAAGCACCAACCAGAACCAATCAGAATAGGACTTTTTCATAGATGTAGACATGTTTCACGGCATGCGCCATTGGGATGCCCATGGCGGCAGCCCATGGCAGCCCACATCGCCTGTTTGCAGAATGAGTCGATGTCCAGGGAGTTGTCTCTCAACTTGGGAGCTGCAAACCACAACTCATCCAACCAGACCTGCGGAGCCGATGATGAGCATCGGACGCTCATGTACTGGGATTTCATGGGGATCCATGGGAATCTAAGTTGGTGAACATAACTCCAATAACTATGGTTTATGGTACTTATAACTATAGTTAATGGGCTTTATAAACCATCTTATAACTGGGGGGGCCCACCTTGTACTGGTTCATGGGGATCAATGGGAATCAAAATCCTCCATGATCACATGGCATTTTGTTGAAAAAAGCAACCCTTTTTCCCACGGCGATTTTCTTTGGACCGGTGCCGCAAAGGGGCGTTTGGATTTAGAGGGGTTATCAAAGGTCATCGCCGCTTTATGTCATATAAATAAGATCAAATAATGTTCCAGATGTAATAGTGTTCCATTAAAGTGGTGCCAGGGTTCTCATTACATGTTGGATGAAGAGCGCATCAACATGCAAAATGATTGTTGGGTGCTGTACATACTTATTCATTTTATCATTTCTATCCAATAAATCAACTTGACACAACAAAATGAAACATGACCAACACATATGACACCTTGTTAAACAAGCACTCAATACATCAAAATACCCTCTGGTAATTTAACGTAGCTATGGAACATCACCATTTTTAATGGGAAAATCAACTATTAATGGCCATTTTCAATAGCTATGTTAAATTACCAGAGGGTACAACAAATAAGTGCATCCTTAAAAAGTCACAAACGCATGTCCCACCTGCTCAACACCCAGGCGCCCGGCTGCGGCGGCTAATTCCTCCGCGGTAGGATGAGTTGGCTGGGACTTGGAATGTGTTTGAGGGATTTCACCAGGAAAATCATGATTTACCCTCCGGTTATGACTAACAGTTCGCCATGGAAAGATCCACCATGCTATTAATAGGTAAACCATCTATTTCGATTAGGGCCATCGAAAAACCATGGCTATGTTAGTCATAACCAGAGGGTAACTATGAACGATAGTGAAATAAACATGGACATTGGGGGCTTAACCATGAACATGATGGGAATATAACCTGCCAATGATGGATATTGGGTCTAACAACATGACCAAAACATCCCTGTAAATGCCTGTTTCTATGGGAAATCAAAGCAACAAAAATGAGGAGGTTGGACTGGGATGGGACAACCCGCCCCAGCTAGGCGCCATTTTTTGCTATCAAAGCTTCATCGAGGCGATCGGGCGATCCCCAGAAGCTACAATATCTGGCTGTGGCCAGTGGTTAGGGTCTCATCCACATATATGGGGATGGGTCAATACCTATAGATACATTTTTAGTGGGATGAACATCCATTTACCAGCTATTTTGGGGTTCACTAGGTACCAGGGTTTTGACCCATCCCCATATAAGTGCAACAAAAATATTTGGCGGGCATGTATTCCTGGACACATCATGCAGTTCCTATTATCTATTGTATCTATTGTAATGAACGTGAGTAGCATCCATTGCCATAGACGAAAGGTGCCATGAAGGCAACGAAGGCACTGGCCGTGTCATTGATCCCATCCTTGCCTGGTAAGCCTTGAAGGATGGAAACCTTTTGAGGGGATTGGTTCAATCCCCCTGAACAATGGGGAATGAACCCTGACCAAAAAAAAGGATGGCAATCAACAATTTGGGGGTATCTAATCAACAATTTGGGGGGTATAATAGTCTATTCTATGAAATTTGATACAATTTGGGGGTATAATTTCATGATCCAACTATTCTTAATGAACCTACGGTTACTGGACTTGCGATAAAAAAAAATCGTTGCTTCGAGGTGACCTTCTGACAGTCGTACATGTCTACATGTACGCGAACATATGTACCCTCTGGTTATTTAACATAGCCATGGAAAATGGCCCATTTATAGATGGTTTACCTATTAAAAATGGTGATTTTCCATGGCTATGTTAAATAACCAGAGGGTATATGTTTGCATGTAGTATTACCCATAGGATCCATGGTGCTGGTATATATGCTAACATTGGGTGTATATTGATGGGATCCATGTTACCATATATAGCAGCACCATGGATCCTATGGGTTATACTAGATCACTGGCTATATCATCTGAATGATCACTGTGGTCACATAACAACTGAGACAAAATGATAGGTATGTGACATTTCACCGAAAATACAAACTGTCGCATTGACTGACATTGGCAGCAATACACGTTTCGAAAGTTGTTGTTAATCTACGTTTTGATCGCACGTATTTTGTCGTGATTTGATCGCAACACAATATGCTGGTTGGTGGATATCCTCTGATTACACGGGAATGGAACTGTCCATTTTCAGTGAATAAATCACTGACAAAGGGACTATTCATGATTATGTTCCATTGCTCTTTTTGATTGCCAGAGGGCAAAATCCCTCAACCTACAAAGTTGTCTGCTTAAAACACTCTATTGTCTATATGTTTAAATACCCTATCTATACTGCTAAAAATCCAAATTCCTTTGATCAATCTTCCTAGAAAATCCACTTCTTTACTGAAAAAACAACGGTTTTATTGCATGTTTTTCAAGATAAATCACAAATCTACCAACTGTCACCACAATCCTGCCCACGTCCTCCCGCTGGATACGCAAGGGCTGTTTCGAGGCCGCGACCTGATCGCAACGGACTGATGTTGTCTCATCCCACGAACGTGTGAGGTCAGTCAGTGGATGGAATTCATCAACAAAGCAGGGGGTTGGGACTATACAATGGGGATGTTCTTTTTTGGGGATGGGATTCCTATTGAAATCCCTTTTTGAGTTCTTCACAAAAATGGGTCTTATATAATATAGAATCACATGGTAAGTACCTTTAATTTAGGTAATGCTAGTAAAGCTTAAAAATAAACCACCCATAATGTTCATGGTATATAATTACCATCCATGGTGAACTTGGGGATGGTGGATCCTATTGCTTTACTCACCTGAAATGGTCATTGCAGTCATTGAAATCAGGTGTTTCACCGTCGCCCGTTCCCGGACCGTTCCCCACCTCAAGGAAGACGCTCCGCAGCGCAGCCTCCGTGGTGGCCGGGCGGAAGCGCAAGATGTCCTGGGGATCCAGCCGGAGCTGAAGCTGACTGACCATTACCACATGACTTCAATGGCCATTTCAGGAACCCAAATTGGAGGTACCTAGCATATATAAGGCCTATTTTTTAGGCCTAAATCTCAGGAAACAAAAAGCCCCAAAATATGTCCCCAAAATATGGTACTAACGTACCTCCATTTTCAAAATTTTAGGATCCTGAAATTCCCATTGACCATATGACTGGGGGACTCATCATCCACCAGCTATGACTTAAGGTACCATTCGGGTGGGGTACCCATCGCCATCTCGTCCTGATGGATTCTGCTGAGACACTCGACTGCACGACGGATGGAGGCCTCACGAGGACAGTCATGGTGGAGTTTGAAGATCATCGATCTGGATAAATATCATTTGGAATATCTAATCACCTGGATTTCATCACCTGGATATACAATTTGAACCCAGATTTACCCAGATTATAATTTGGTTAGTGAGAACTGTCATATTTTACGAAGCTGAGATGAGGCCAGCCATGCGGATGATACTCTGAATCCATTCACCATGCTCCCGGTGACAGTGAGGTCACTATATGATTTGCCCAGATCTATAGACAAAGAGAGGTTTGAAATGGTTTTAAGTTGATAGGAATTGCTCTATGGATTGTGATATATTATGATATATTACGCAGCTTAAAAAAAAAATGTATAATTAGTATAATCCCCGAACCAATCATCAACCAACAGGGGGTTCCGACCACTGCTCAAGTGGTCTTAAGTGTTTTGTTTACCTTCCCAAGTGGCTTTAAGTGGTCTGTAATGATCTGAAAGTAGCACTAGGAATAGAACCACGCAAAAACAATTGATCTACACAGCACCAAAAACAAGCCAAAAACCATGTTCAACCAATGAGATATGGGGGTTTACTAAACTAGTGGTAACATAGTATGTTAATGGGATTTTCCATTATAAACCAACCAGCTATTGGGGATACCCCCGTTTATGGAGTGCTTGGTGTACCCGGTCAACCTGGTGACGAAGCCAAGGGAAACGTTGCGTCAGGAGAGGGGAAGGAGGCAGCAGCTTTTTGCGGAAGCGAAAGAAAGAATGTACGTAGTGTATTGTTGATGTATCTATAGTAGAGTGGGCTTGCAAGCTGGTCGAGGCAAGCAAATCTGAGTTTTAGTTTTTTTCCCATTCATTCCTTCCTGACTATCAGCCGGATCTGTAAAGTGTACAAAAGCCCAGCTTGAAGTTATGAACGTCGCGAATGCACAGCATGTCTGCACAGTCTCTGACTAGCAGCGGTTGAATGAATGTATCTATACTAAGCGTCTATAAACATACCAAATTATAAAAAACAAACATAATACATATACGGTAACTACATTTAAATATACGGACTTTTAAATATACGAACAGATATTTTAGACTACCTCCGTCAAGGTTTTCCTTGGCCCGCCCGGCCATTTAAACATACGGAATCCAATTCATTTAAACATACGGTATCTACATTTAAATATACGAACTGGTATTTCATACTCCCTCCGGGGCCTCGCGGTCTGGCCCGCCCTCCACATATTTAAATGTCGTTACCGTATATATAATCATATATATATATATAATATTATATAATATCCAATTTAAGAACAAACAACTGAATAGTCTCTATATGTTTGGTTTCCAAAGTCATAGGGCTACCCCAAATCACCCAAGTCATCGGATCCTTTTAGGAAACCTCTCTGTACGTCGATGACATCGGCATCAGCTTCACCTGTGTAGGCGCTTCTAAGACGTCGCAGCACATCAGGGCGGTCCTGGAAGATGGCGAGCAGCGAACGATTGTGAAGTCTTACAGTAACTGGTAGCGAAAACGAGTCATGCAGTATCTATAAACCAATTTACTGTATCAACATGATTTGTCGAAATTGGGGGACCGAACATATCCGAAAATGCTTTGTGGTTGAGCAGACCCCTAGATAAAGTGACAGTCATTTAGGATGATCATCCGGTTTAGGGATGCACACGAAAGCGGATGACACCACAAACGAGAAAAATATGAAACCAGCATACGGGAAACCATATTCAAGTGATACCTCTGTATAGGTAAGGGTTTCTTCCCAGCCAGAAGAAAGAACCATGTGATTCTATCTCAATGTGTGTATCTTAAACCATCGGTTAGCGTAAACATCTATAGCAAAAGACTAAAGTACTAAACTATCCATCAAGGTTAACACATATATAACTATTTCTTCAACCAACAAATGCACATGTTTCCCTCATGTAATACTATAACCAAGCGTATGAAAATATGTTTTGACATATTATCTTCATCGGTCCAGGCTTCGGGATTACCCCTGTCCTGATGCTTCGCTTGGGAATAGCCCCACGCATCTCACCATCGAGACGCGCGAACATCTGCGACGGTGACATGGCCATCGGGCCATGGGTTTGAAGTAGCAGTTTTAACTATCAAACATGGTGAAACATGGTGTAACTTGAGAATAAAAGCAAAAACATGACGAATAAAAATGGTAGTGTGGATTCCACCATTGATAATTTCACCAATAAAACATGACTTTAAAAAAATAACCATCAAACATGGTGAACATGGCAGTTTGATGATCAAACATCGTGATTTAATCGATATAAATAGTGGAATTGATGGCGATGTTTCATGCGGACTTGATGGGAACATATAGAATTTACCTGTATTTATCTATACTTTATATTTGGATGTGATTGAAAATGGATGAACATGGGGTTATGGCAATTTTAGTAGTGAAAATAGTGATTGCCTTAACCATCCACATTGGGGGTGTCCTATATTTAGCATATTTTAGCATTATTAGATCAATTTTGCTGTGACCTGTTCATCGGTTTTAGTGCTGAAACATGGATTTGTTCACACTTCTCCTGAGTTCCGACTGAGAGTCCTATGAGGAGAATAAGACACTCAACTATGGTTGTGCATCTATACCCCCAACAATGCGTTCCCTAAGTTTAAGAACCCCCAACATATAACTGTTGACATACCGCAACTTACCCAACATGAACTGTTGTTGTTTCCATCAAAGTTGCCTAAATGACACCAAGGTGGAGCTTTCCTAAAATGGGCGTACCCCCAAATCATCCATTGTAACAGGATGTTCCATTATCAACTTACCGGTGCTTAGCAGGGGATGGATGGGAATGGGGGTTGCTGGGATGATGACATTACTAGTGATGAAATGGATCATTCCCCAAAATTCCCTACGTTTAGCACCAGTAAGTCAACCATCCAGCTATTGGGGTATCCCCATGACCCCCAACATGAGCTGTTTCATGATCCACCCATCTTCGAACGCACGCGCGCCTTATCCAGCTCCCAATCGGATAGGGCGGCATGACATCGCACACTGAACCTCGCTCCCAAATCTATATCGCCAGGACATTTTGAGCTGAGGAACATGGGATTAATTGTACATATATATATATATATTGGTTATTAACCATGATTAACCATCATTAACCATTCTTAACCATCATTAACCATTGTTAACCATTGTTAACCAGTGTTAACCATTGTTAAACAGTGTGAACCATTGTTAACCAGTGTTAACCATTGTTGACCATATATTATTGGTGAACCATATAATGCTTGGGAAATCATTGTTCCATATATTGGTTAACCATTTCGGCCCGATTTGGATGGGGAGTGACAGGGGCACATCTACCCATAGATGACCATGTTTACTTCAACAGTTCTCCTAGTGTTGTGGTTATCCGTTCAAGCTCCATTTGTTGCTGGTAAAATCCGACTTGTTGCATGGTTGAATCCCAAGTATTGTTGGATCAATCCACATGTTTGACAATGATATAGAAGTGATACAAATATAAGTTGCATGTTGGAATAAAACCAGTGTCTGAAAACACCCTACTGTTGCAATTGACAACTCTTGGACTTGGATATACCCAATAGTCGCTGATCATCAGTTTTTCCTTGCAAACAAAAACCACTTGGAGGTGATCATATGTCATGTTCAATCACAGCCATACGATGATGATGATGATGATGATGATGATGGTTTTAGCAATCCCCAAAAAAATCAAGTAAAACACACATAATGACACATCCACAATTGATGTTCTATCCGTTTTTTGAGGCTACTATCTGTAGAATGATTGCCATTGGTGGACTATATATATATATATATATATATATTATATTATATATCAAATATGATTGTCTATATATATATAATATTATAATATATATATATATATTATACATATATTTTTCAAAAACAACAACTACAATAATGAAAAACACCGAGTCCACGCAGTCCAAAAGGACACGAAAAAAACCGAGGACCCGAGGACCCGAGGACTGGACGCAAGAAGCTCGGCCCTGGCAACCAACCCGTCCTGGAACAGCAATGAACTATTGTGAGCTATGGTAAATCTATGGTGATTTATTGTGATTTATAGTGATTAATATAGTGATTTATGAAGAGAAATGGTAGGTTTACAATGTTTACCGTAAATGTCAGGGATTATGATTTCGGATTTGTAGTACATTTACCATCAGTCTCAGTGTATGGAGGTTTCCTCAAAATAGTGGTACCCCAAATCATCGAAGTCATGGATGACCATTTGAGTATTGAAACCCATGGTTTTGGAGATGCCCAATTTGAAGAAACCACTAAAATGTCAGCGAAGCCGTGCTTGTGACAGTGGGGAGAATGCACCTGAAGGGCAATTGTGCGAAAAACATCGAACAACCATGAGTTTCCCAATGGTGAACATTATTCCATATATTGGTTAACCATTAATGGTTCATATTAACCATGTTGTCAATCTTGCGAAGCAACTTGTCTTCTGATGTTGGTCACTGGCGAACGTTGTCCGGATCAGCCGGGCGGAGATTTCTTGGCGACAGCTTTGTCTCATGGTATCCAAAAACTGTCAGGTTTGATTAAGGTACCGATCTTAGTCCACTTTGATGTTTTGAAACTGGAAACGTTGCACATTTGCCGGGGGGAGATGCATTTGCTTGCTGCGCGCGTCTTTGTCAAAGTGAGGTATTTTTTTGATATTTTTTGTACTTTCGCAGCAGCGGAAACATAATTGATTGATCATTTTTGAGTATGTGATTTATTTCTTGAGTAGTTTTTTATTGGAAGAAAATGCATATGTCACCTCGACTCGTGCCTGGCATTTGTTTTGATAAAACTTCCAGAGATACTCAGACAGTAAGTCACTTGCAGTACTGAGGGGCTCTCGTTCTAACGGATTTTCACAGGACAAAACGCACCTCCAGTCTTTCATATTGAGTTTGTCAAAAAAGGTATCCCAAAATCAATTGGTGAATCATCATTATCATTTTTTATTGGTGAATCATCAATTGGCAACAAAAACACATTATCCCATGATCATTATACCATTATCATCCACTATCCCGAAGTGTTTCCGTAAGAAAAAGGTTAGGACCTGGGTCAGGACCTGGCTCTCTGTAAAAAAATCCGAGTCATCAACCGGATGGTTAGATCCGTTGAAAGCTGGACATGCTGCAGCTGAGATTTTGTTGAGATCCACCAAAACTTGTAGAACATCAAGCATCATCAAGCTCACAAAATCACAGACATATATCCATTCAGTTTCCAAACTAAGATATATCTATGTCCATATGTCCATATGAACCACTAACAAATACTGCTATCCCATCTCATTATTGGTTCATAGCTTTCCCATGGTTTCCCTGCTATGGATTATCCTAATCCCCAATGAATGTGGTAGTGTAAGCCCTTCTCATAACAACTGGGGCATCTTTAATGGCTCATGTCTGTTCATTGATGTTTCCCTTGCTTAGCGCAAACCCCTTAAACCCCCGTCCTCGCGAACTGGCACGTTTTCCACCGCCTGGGCAGAGTTCAAACATGGCCTTGAATCGAATCATTGTGCAGGTCGTCCTCAAGATGGGGATGATTCAACAATGCAAAATACATAGAAAATAGCAGTTCCACTGTTGAACATCGGGATTTAATTTATTGGGGTGTATCATGGTGTATCCCCACATGACTATATTTTTCATGGTGAATTCCGGAATATTCTCATGAACCAAAAGAGTTCGGGTACACGTCCCGTCAAATCTTCTTAGTTTACAATACACTGATCATCTGGGCGGTTTCTATCAAATACCTTCCACGTGTTCCACATTTTCCCCTGGAAAATGCAATACGAAGTTCCAAATGTCACCACGTTTTTATGGCAATAATGTGATTGTCGTCAGCCAGCAACCTGGAAAAGTCCACTCAGCAAACAATTGGATCGTTTCGTAGCTGGAGATGCATCGATCGTCAGGGGGATGGTCCCCAATGGTCTCAACATGATACCCTCAGTGCAACTAAAAGATGTCGGAAGTAGAAGGCTTTTTTGCGTAGAGAACAGATCTTTTCCGTCTTTGTGATGATCCCCAAACTATCCATATTTGGCACCGCTGGTCCATCTGCCCCAAAGTTTTGAGGGATAGAGTACCTTGGGTCCACTTGACGTTCGATTTCGATACGTTTTCCCAACAACATCTGCTGCATCCGACGTGAAAAACCTGACACTTGGGATCTAAATCGTTCGTTTTTTTTTTCATTTTAGGTACCATCTGGTTATTTAACATAGCCATGGAAAGATCCACCATTTTTTATAGGTAAATCATCTATAAATGGGTCATTTTCCATGGCTATGTTAGTCATAACCAGAGGCTACGGTATTTATCCAAGATTTGGTGATTTCCCAAACATGGAGCCAGGAAGATTGAACACCAACTGATGGATGACTTGGGCGTTACCGTTCTTTTGGCACGGCCATCATCCGTGCACCTTGTCAACCGTTTTCCAGCCCACTTCCTGCAGCGCTTGGAGGGGTCAAACGTGGAGATAAAAAAATGGAATCACATAAGTTGGGATGGCAGAAATACCACTTGCAGCCCTACCGGATAGTATGTAAAAGTATGTATTGATTAGTAATTGATGAGTGATTTCTCTGCATTTTGAGGGGTCAATGTCGCCTCTCGAAGTCATTATTTTGATTTGATAATGTTGGTGTCGAAAAAATGTTGGCCAGATTCTCACCAACATAAACGTCAACATCATCAACAATGTCCCACACCGTCATTATACTTGCAATTGTCATCGTCACTTATCATATGATCAAACATCGTACTCACCAGTATATGTACTGACAATCATCATGCCATGATCATCATCCTTCTCCTCCTCCTCCTCCTCTTCCTCCTATTCCTCATCATCACCATCACCATCACCATCACCATTATTCACAATCATTAGCCATTGTTTACCAATGGTGTTCTTGACCATCATCGCCCTCACCATCATCACCATCAAGAGCACTCCTCCAACATCCTGCAAAGATGAGTTCACACATCTCATATCAATGGCGCGTTCGTGAGCATAAGAGGAGTTTCAACAAACACTGACTTGATTAAGGTTGTACTTCCATCTTGTCCTGGATAAGTTTTGGACACATCTATATAATTCTCTACAAATGCCTTGATCATATGAAATATGTTTATACTATAAGTTTATACAAGTTTGTGAAATCCTCACTTTCCTTGCGTTTTTTTTTGAAACCCATCTTGATTTGGCAAGCCATCCTCAGTTGTCCCAAGTCGTACCATCTGTACCAAGGTCTTGAGCAAGTCGACTGTGTACCCCAATATTTGATGGTTTATCAGAATGTTCTCATTGACAATACCATTTACCCTCTGGTAAACCAACATAGTTATGGAAAATGGCCCATTTATAGATGGTCTACCTATTAAAAATGGTGATTGTCTGTAGCTATGTTAAATTACCAGAGGGTAATTGTAACATTGGGAATATAATGTGTTTCTTGAATATACACCCACGATATCCGCCATATTACCATTACAATCTATTGTGTCCTTGAGGTCCATTTTGGGGTATACGATCATATATATATATATATATAAGACACATAGTAATTATCCCATTGTAAACATATAATGCTTATAATTTTGATACACTAATATATATATATATATACACCATTTGTTAATGATAATATATCTATCTGATATGTATGTGTAAATATATATATAATATTGTAATATCATAATAGACCATAGTTGGTTTCCACTATATTAACTATACTAAATCTACTCCCATATTCAGACCAAAGCCAAGATGTTGGCGCCTGAGCGGCTCGCAGAAGTCTCGCCAGGCAAATGTCATGCCAGGCCTTGGACTTTTTTTTCAGGAACTGGTTGATATCCTTTAGACAGATAGACAAATAACATTCTCCTAACATATATAACATATTATATGTAAGAATTATGATAACGATCTTAAAAGTCTACTAACTAACAGAGATAGGCAAATACGTGTGTGTGTGTCTATCTTTTTGGGATTACTGTAGAATATGATCAAAAACACACAACACAGAAACAACGTATTGTATTTTTGGTGATCTAAGAAGATATTATTTATCAGCAAGCAAATGAACCCGAGACTTTGACTCTGGATCAGTAATTAGTCTGAAAAACTGTAGCTGTGGGTTTGTCCAAAAATAGAGGACCCCAGAATTCAGTGGTTTCTTCTCATTGCCCTATCAATTGATGGCTATTTCCTTTTCGGGATATAATATGATATAATATCCACTCTGATTGATATATGATGTAATCAATATGTTTGATTAATTTTGATTACAATTCGCCAGTTGTCATGGATCAATTCATCATTTCTCATGATCAAACACCCACTGTATTGTGGCCGAAAAAGACCAACCATGATTCTTTTGATGATCAAATCATATCAAATCATATCAAATTCCTAAATCCCTATGTTTTCATGATTCTTTTGATGATCTAATCCAGAAAAATCACTGGTTCAAAAAACACATTGAATCCCTACCCTCTGGTAATTTAACGTAGCTATTGAAAATGGCCATAGAAATAGTGGATTTTCCCATGAAAAATGGTGGATCTTTCTATAGCTATTTTGACATAACCAGAGGGTAAATCACTGGTTCTTTACACATTGAATCCCTATAGTTTTCACCGCTGAAATGCTCCCGAAGCTCCACCCTTTGGACGGACCGCCTCAGACATCTCTGCCGCCGCGGCGGCGGCGGAAATGGTGGAGCTCGGGGGATCCAGGACATCCTGAGGATTTCATGACGAAGCGGAACCCATTGAGGACGGAGCTAGCGATTCCATATACCCTCTGGTAAACTAACATAGCTATCGAAAGATCCACCATTTTTCATGGGAAAATCCACTATTTCTATGGCCATTTTCAATAGCTACGTTAAATTACCAGAGGGTATTTGTGGCCTATTTTGTTAGGCCTATGTATACAGGAATATCCCCAGAAAAAGATGGCCAGAAATATGGTACTAACGTAACTCTATTTTAGGATCCTGAAATTCCCATTGATGTAAACGTTTATGGGGTATTGGGAGTATCATGGTATGATGGGATAAACTTGAGATGTTGTGCAAGGCGGTATCCCGGTTCATTAGCTAAGTTCTGTTTTTTTGGGGGTTTTATGATGATTTATGGACATTTTCATAGGGAATTCATCCCTTAAACCCTGGTTGATTGGTGAAAAACAGGGGGTTGTTCTATCTCATGTTGTTGGGAATCATGATGAAATAACCCACAATTGGGGTACCGATCAACTAGGATCATTAATGAGGAAAACATGCTGTTTTTGGGTGAATTGGTTTATAAACCAACCATAAAGGAGATATCATGGGGATACAATGGGCATATTTCTTGGAATATCATCCTATGAAGGTTGATCTTGGTTGATTACTGCGGAATGAGCATCTAGAAGTGTGTTTCTTGTGGTGCTATGAATATTCTCATTGCAAGGTGCCCCATGTGGTTCTACGGTTCTATAGACTATGCATATATTTGATGTGATAATATGCTTTAATATGTTATAATTAATGTAAATGGGAGTAAAATAGCTATTAACATTATATTGTAACATCGTGTTTACTGAAATAAACCAACAAACATCACCCTTGGGGCACCACGGATGTATTTTTTTTGCTAGGGTACGAAGCATTCGTCGTGCTGCAAAAGTTGCAGGAGTCCTTCATTTGAACCGTATAAATCGATACATTTCATCATCAATATGTATAAATATATAATAATGTATATATATATATATACACATACGTATATAATATAATATAATATAATATAATATAATATAATATAATTATAATATAATTATAATATAATATAATATAATATAATTATAATATAATATAATATAATATAATTATAATATAATTATAATATAATTATAATATAATTATAATATAATATAATATAATATAATATAATATAATAATATAATATAATATAATATAGTGTAAATGTGTGTAAATATAAATACATATAGACAAATGACTACACATTTTGCTGTGGGAACTACTGTTCTAATCAAGATACTGGTCTTATTCGAACGGCAACTGATATCTCGTAAACCCTTCTCAAGGGCAGAATGGTTTGTGGAGCCACGACATCGGAGTCCATATTGCAAGTCAGTGTGAATGAAATCGCTGAAAAAATGCTGAAATCATATCCAACACCATGTGGTTTCAAATAAATTCTACCCTCTGGTAATTTAACATAGCTATTGTAAATGGCCATTTATAGTGGATTTACCCATTAAAAATGGTGATTTTCCATAGTTGTGTTTACTACCTCACACTCAAAATGGAGGATTCGTTGAGATGGTATTCTGTCGATCTTCAGACCAAAAAAAGGCCGCACACGGAACTGCCGGGCAATATTTTGAGCCCAGCCCAGACAATGCCGACTCAGTGGAATCACAAGCAGCTCACCAATGCACCACGAATCTTCAAAGTACGCAAACTGCTTGGCAAACACACGCCTTCGAGAACCTTCTTCCAATTGTTTACACCAGCATTCAGTTCACGATCAGCAACCAGGTTTACTAATGACAAGCTCTGAAGACTGCTTGGCAGGTTCACTCCTTCCAGGCTCTGGTTGAAACGATAGCCGAATGTCAAGCTCTGAAGATTGCTTGGCAGGTTCACTCCTTCCAGGCTCTGGTTGAACTCCTTGCCGAATGTCAATCTCTGAAGATTGCTTGGCAGGCTCACTCCTTCCAGGCTCTGGTTGAAACACCAGCCGAATGTCAAGCTCTGAAGATTGCTTGGCAGGTTCACTCCTTCCAGGCTCTGGTTGAAATGATAGCCGAATGTCAAGCTCTTAAGATTGCTTGGCAGGTTCACTCCTTCTAGGCTCTGGTTGAAACACCAGTGGAATGTCAAGCTCTGAAGATTGCTTGGCAGGTTCACTCCTTCTAGGCTCTGGTTGAAGTCATGGTCGAATGTCAAGCTCTGAAGATTGCTTGGCAGGTTCACTCCTTCCAGGCTCTGGTCGAAGCTATGGCCGAATGTCAAGCTCTGAAGACTGCTTGGCAGGTTAACTCCTTCCAGGCTCTGGTTGAAACGATAACCAAATGTCAAGCTCTGAAGATTGCTTGGCAGGCTCACTCCTTCTAGGCCCTGGTTGAGGTCATTTTCGAATGTCAAGCATCGAAGATTGCTTGGCAGCTTGTCTCCTTCCAGGCTCTGGCTAAACATGCCACCAAGTGTCAAGCTCTGAAGGTTGCTTGGCAGGTTCACTCCTTCCAAGCTCTTGTTGAAGTGCCTGCCGAATGTCAAGCTCTGAAGATTGCTTGGCAGGTTCACTCCTTCTAGGCTCTGGTTGAAGTCAACGCCGAATGTCAAGCTCTGAAGATTGCTTGGCAGGTTCATTCCTTGCAGGCTCCGGTCGAAACTATGGCCGAATGTCATTTTCTGAAGATTGCTTGGCAGGTTCACTCCTTCCAGGCTCTGGTTGAAACGATAGCCGAATGTCAAGCTCTGAAGATTGCTTGGCAGGTTCACTCCTTCCAGGCTCTGGTTGAACTCCTTGCCGAATGTCAATCTCTGAAGATTGCTTGGCAGGTTCACTCCTTCCAGGCTCTGGTTGAAACACCAGCCGAATGTCAAGCTCTGAAGATTGCTTGGCAGCTTCACTGCTTCCAGGCTCTGGTCGAAGAAAAAGCCGACTGTCAATCTCTGAAGATTGCTTGGCAGGTTCACTCCTTCCAGGCTCTGGTTGAAACGATAGTCGAATGTCAAGCTCTGAAGATTGCTTGGCAGGTTCACTCCTTCCAGGCTCTGGTGGAACTCATGGTCGAATGTCAATCTCTGAAGATTGCTTGGCAGGTTCACTCCTTCCAGGCTCTGGTTGAACTCATTGCCGAATGTCAAGCTCTGAAGATTGCTTGGCAGGTTCACTCCTTCCAGGCTCTGGTTGAAACGATAGCCGAATGTCAAGCTCTGAAGATTGCTTGGCAGGTTCACTCCTTCCAGGCTCTGGTTGAAGTAATACCCGAATGTCAAGCTCTGAAGATTGCTTGGCAGGTTCACTCCTTCTAGGCTCTGGTTGGAGTGCCTGCCAAATGACAACATTTCAAGAGTCTGTGGGAGAAGGTCAAACTGTACAGTAGGTGCACCTACGATCTGCGTGAGCCCCTGTAGAACAAACTCTCCCTCAGGGACTGGAGATCCTTGCCTCTGGATGAAACAGTAGGCTGCGTACAAATCTGTTGGAACAGAAGTGCAAGACAGTGTCTCTTCTTTGCCCACAATGCCTTGCTCTTGCAGTGTTTGATGGAGCATGAGCTGCACACCAAGGTACTGCAAGGTGAGTTGTTCGCCTTTCTTTGGTTGAAACTGCTTTGAGACCAGCCGATGCACTTCGCAACCCAAAGAGCAAGAACTAAGTTTCAACATCAGCCCTTCACCATTCAGCCGTAGTACATGAAGATCAATCAGGTCTGAGTCACTGAGCACCACATAGCCGGCACTGCTATGAGCACTGGTCGACATCTCTTCAACCTCTGTGATGGACACCGGGCTTTGCCGGTATCGTTTCTGTATCTTCTGGGATGAATCATACGGTTTCTCCAAGTGTGGACAGCAAACAATCATGACGTACCCAAACAAAAACGTGTGGGAAGGAAACTGCAATTAAAAAAGGGCACACACTTCTTGAAGTACAGAATTTAGAAACGCTCACCCGTACCCTTTGTGCTTGGGCGGGATGGGACTATGATCCGGACACTTCAACTATACCCAGATGATGCCAATGAGTTACGAGTACCATTCTCTCAACAGGCTGAGCCAGAGAATCGCCCAATTCTAGAGGAAAGGAGTCTTGCAACCCCCATGAATGGCAGGGTTCGGTTAGATTTTTTTAAAATCTTTATTGGAGGAAAGGTCAATGTCCGTGACTATAATCCCCTATTTGATGATCCCATTGCATGCCCACATTTACTTCATTTATATAATCTCCAAAAAGATCTGAGTTACACACTGACCAAAGCGTCCCAAGTTGCTGGTACCACATATTGAACCATCCCACATGATGTGAGTCGTAAGCCGGGTCCGGTCCTCAAGGATTTGCTGATCTACTGCCAAATTTGGGTAGCCCAAACATGCCGAAACACTGGATAACTAAATGCAGTAAATGCCTAAGGATGTTGTCTGTTTTATGGTATTTCCATGTTTTGACATGCTGTGGATGGAAGAAATCCTTCACCATGTAAGAAAACTATTGGTAACTGTGAAACACTATAAATAATTGATGGGATTATAATGGGATAAGCCATCAGGATTTTTTTCCATCCACAGTAAGCAGTAACTTCACCCATATATATATATATTATGTATATATATAATGTATATATATATTATGTATATATATATATATATTATATGTATATATATATATACACGTATATGTCATAAGCTACCTACTGGCAACATGGCAAATGGACCCGCCAATCAGTTGAAGTAGACTCACCCAATAAGCTTGTAAAATAGCGTCAGGGTCAGTTTCTTCATATCAATCTTGAATAGTCATGAATATTGTGACATTCTGGATTCTTCTTGATAAATCTGGATACCCTCTGGTAATTTAACATAGCTATTGAAAATTGCCATTGAAATAGTGAGTCTTCCCATGAAAAATTGTGATTTTCCATAGTTATGTTAGTTTACCAGAGGGTACTCTTAACTTCCAAGCCATTTCGGGGATGATTCCCCTTCTCGAAACGGTCCATCGCAACGGTCCTCATCAGGCTTTGGCACTGGATATGCTGTGCTGCTGATTCCAGTCACCTGCCCCAGGAGTGACCAACCACAATCAAGGTTAGGGCTTATCATCCTAGATCACCATGATATCTAGCCTTGATTCCCAGCCCAAGTAATCAGATGGAAGGCATGACTTCCGATAGACAAACAACATGTATACAATGTAAATGGAAAGCTTCAGCGACCTGCAGAACTGGAATGACAACTCATAAAAAGAGTGGCTACGAGTCACCTGAGTCACCTGCATTCACCTGCTACCCTGGTGAAGACCAAAATGGCATGGTCAGGAATCTCTCGAGACGTATCTTTAATATCCACAAATCTCCACAGCTATCTCTCAAACCAACCCCAACTGCAGCCATTTTGTCGCTGCTCGTTTCAACGAAAACCCCTTAAGGAACTACACTTAACTGACTGGGGGGGATTCCTCCGGAAAAATTCATCGAACACATCAGGTACCAACATATCGTTCTATCCAACATAGCCTTTCCACATGCGAATTACACCCTCTTGGATGTAGATTCCAATTTCATCCAATTAGCAAGTGGTTCATAACGCACACATATATACAAATATCATCTTAAATACCTCTGGGCTTATCCCCTCTATGACTAGGTTACCCTCTGGTAAACTAACATAGCTATAGAAAATCACCATTTTCAATGGGAAAATCCACTATCAATGGTCATTTTCAATAGCTATTTGGACATAACCAGAGGGTAACATGGATTGCCCAATTACTCCCTTCACACCTAGTTTTTTGGGGATGAAAAATCCCCTGGACCTCCACCAGGCGTTGCGCGAACTCGTTGTAGTCCAACAGCCCGTCGCTGTTGCTATCGCTCAACTTCCACCTGGCGGTGCGGTGGCGGATTCGCACAGAATTCACCAGGCATCTTTGGTGCAACATCCATGCCAATGTGTCTCTCTGTGTTTCTTTCAAATACCCTTAAAAAAAAACGCAGATTTGAGCCATTTTGAATCTTCATCAATTTATTACTTACTAATTATATAATATAGTTATGAACATTGAATTGAAGCATCCATAGTTGAACTTTTGAAGATCTAGAATCTAGATCATTCTAAATCAAACCATTCATTCTCTTTAAATATCTTCACCCTGCTGCGGGCCCAAGCAGCACCAAGCCATGCCAGGAGGAACAGCCAGTCCAGTTGTTCAGAACGAAGACCAAGCTCCAAGTTGTTCACCTGCGCTGAGCCATGGTGAGCCGGGGCCTTACCAATGAAACATGACAATAGTCCTAATAGAAGCGAGTGAAAAAGCGAGTTGGATATCTAGGGATGTCTAAGAAATATGGGTTTTAAGTGAATTGGATTTAATTGGTATATATCTGGTTGGTGGTTGAGCCACCCTCTGAAAAATATGAAAGTCAATGGGAAAGATATTATTCCCAACATACGGAAAAACATGTTCCAAACCCTCAATCAGATATAATCAATTTATAACCAAAACCGAATATATCCGATCTTAGATACTCGGCAAAACCTGGCATTGTGATTGTCCCGATCAAAATTGCAAAACTAAAAGTACAAAAAAAAACTGCCCAGTGACTGGGGGTACAAAAACACCATAGCTAGAGCTAACCTGGGATCGTCACCCAGTTGTGACTTAGTCAGATTCTTCAGGGTTTTTGATGTTTGTGGCTACCAGGGATAGAACCAACATGAATCTCCAGTGGATCGGTCATTTTGACCCATATGGAAATTTTCAGTTCAAACGGGATCAGTCAGTACCCGAATGAACACCACAATGATTTATGTAATATGGATGTTTCTTGGTTCTGAAAGCTATACTATCTGGTTGGTGGTTTTTTGCCACCCCTCTCAACAATGATGGAGTTCGTCAGTTAGTTTGGATGATGACATTCCCAACATAATATGGAAAAATAATCCAAATGTTCCAGACCACCAACCAGTTATGGTTCGGGGATGCCACACTTTAAGAAAATACAGACACGCCCATATGATCAGTGGTTGATCCCCCCGAAGGATCGGCACCAGGGCATAGAACTCACTCTTCTGCGCTCGCCGGTGCTGGCAGACCATATCAAAGACCTGTCACAAAGGTGGAACGAACCTTGATCCTAGATGGGGCTAAACCATCTCATCCCCAGAAGGCTAGAGGCTTCTGAGTGGCTCTCATCCATGCAGTTTATGTTCCATTTGATATCCGTTTATAGTAACCTCAAAAAAAAGACTATATTTTAACTTATTTTGCTGTTCAATCTGTTCAGCAGGATTTGCTTCAGGTTGCCCTCAAAAGCAACAAATCCAATAGATTGCCCAAGGTGCTACAATCTTAACGACCACGTGTGAATCCGGTCAACAAATCGCAAATCCAAGTATTGCCAGATGACCCCCCACCATATCCCCCCAAAAAAGTATAACCGGTCTGTTCGAACATCTATTTTAAGCGTGCACATGGTATAAATCTATCTCATCATAGTAGCACTTTTGTTGGTTCTAAAGCCCCATGAATTGGCTGTTACCCTCTGGTAAACTAACATAACTATGGAAAATCACCACTTTTAATGGGTAAATCCACTATAAATGGTCATTTTCAATAGCTATGTTTGTTTACCAGAGGGTAGTGAGGTAAGCCCCCAATCATGAACCATCCCATTCACCAAACATTTGGGAGTACTGAACATCATCATGCATCATCCCATGTCTAGAGGTATTCCCAATGTCGTAAACTTCTATTGGGGATGGTTTATTGTAGTTATCACACAGCATCGATATACATCGATTATAAATATATTATCCCACTCTTGCCGTATATCAATCCATATTCTCCAATATATAGACATCATTATGAGAATATTATTCCATTATTATGGAATATCCCACATTATTATCCCACTATATATAAGGCTGTTTCCTTACATTCAAGGGTCGTTTCGTTGCATTTGAGATTCGAGGGGAGTAGCTGCGCTGGCTCAAACCCCATCCATGCTGAATGCAAAGACTGAAGTTTCCTGATTGCACCTAGTTGTGCTGAGGTTTTTTCTGTTGGGTTGTCACCGGAATATTTCAGAATCAGTGCGTTTTTTGGCACTGAATTGCTTAAGTGTCTGCTATATTCAGGTTTATCCGATCATTGGTTGATCATTCTGATGGCCAAGCCTCATCCTTGCCGTTGCCTTTGACACATGAAGCTGGTGAAGCTGCTGATGGCCCTGGAAGTCGTGCTGCCTTTTTGAGATGCTTGGGAGCTGCCAGTGATCCGCAAAGAGATGTTGTTCAGACCCCATCCAAACCCAATCGAAAAGTTGTGAACCTTACGTTGGAATCTGTTGTGAAGTTCAGAGATGACAATTTTGAGCATACTGCTCATCATGCAGATCAGGCTTCCAAGCAGACATTGGGACGTCGTCCCAATTATGACAATAGAAAGCGGGCTTTTCTGGCAAGGCAACCGCCTGACCGGAGAAAGTACCTTATATGTGGGGTGGTAACTTTATCTGTTTTCCTCCTCTGAGTTAGCCACTTCCAGCTTTGAAGGCTCCAGTGTCCTCATATTTGCGGTTTTGCTTTTTTGCCGCTGTCCCAAGGCAACATTTGAATGGCCAAAGCCATGTCCGAGTGAGGAGGTTGATCTTGAAGAACTGCCGTTGCAGCTCAGGGCATTGCTGGCGGAAGTTCCAGGGATCCGTGGGTGCACTTCTGCAGTTTTTATCTGTTTTCTGGAATCTGAAGAAGACCCTTCAGGATGCGTATGTTCCAGGGCTCAATTACATTCCAAAGACATGTCCAGGAGCATTTAATGATTGAATGCTTCGGGGGTCCAACTGGAAAAAACGTTGCGCCGACTGAGATTCACAGAATGGCTGGCGCTTCTGGCACTGGTGTTGTCAGGCAATGGATGGTGCTTGGCAAAACTGTTGGTAGTCGATGTGTGGCTGCCCTCATTGGGGTAGGGTACAACCGTCTTCACTCAGCTTATCATGGGAACGTTGACATGAGACACAACTGCTTTGGATTCGCACCTTGACAGAGTTTCATTGCTTCATCCCTGGGTTTCATCCTATCTATGTCACAGTGACACAGCCGTGCCATATTTCTTGGAGTGATCCATCTGGACTATCTAAGGTAAGGAAATACAGAGCTGCCAAGAGGATGAAGGTGGACATGCACTTGCTGAAACTGTATCAGGGTGCCTCTGGGATGCTGCCTAATAAGCTCTTTGTTAGCAAGCAGTATCAGACAAGTGGCAGCATGGCCATTCAGTGTTGTGAGTGTTGTGCAATCTTTATCAAAAACCGAGGTTTCAAAGAGGCGGAATGAAACGCAACAGGTCAAAGGCACCAGAGAACTTGCAGATTGTGTGCCGGGAACTGGAAGAACCAGAAGACATGAAGGGTTCCCTGACTGCTTTCTGGGTTTCGCTTGAAGATTTAAACTGAGAATTGTTGCCAACCATTTCCCTGAAACAACCAGACTAAGATTCTGATGATGATAGTGAAGCTCAAGACCCAGATTTTTGCATGGCTGGCGAACGCTTGGAAGACGACGAGGCCTTGAGGCTTCACATCCTTGGCCTCAAGAACTTTTTCACAACGCCCCTTGGCTGTTCTACATGTGGAACTGGTTTCTGACATCACCAAGTGCAATCTTTTGATGGCGAAGGCATGTGGAAACTTCGATGGGTCAGCGTGTGGAAGGACTTCCGACGAGATATCTCCCGCCAGGGAGCATCAAAATGCTCTGGTTGGAGTTTCGGCAGACTCATCCAAATGTTTCGTTACTTGGTATTCAATAAATTTGTGGCAGTTTTGTGGTCTTATGGTTTGGAATATGAATGTCGAATTTCAATCACCGACCAAGGTATATCACCTTCTGGAGGAGATACAAAACTTGTGTGGTCAAACATTTTGAGGTTCTTGCCGGCATCAACACACGGAACGTGTGATACTTGCTGCGATTTCAAAGAGCAGTTTCGGAGATGTTCAGAATCATGGCTTTAAAGTGTTTTGCTTTGATGCCTTTTCTTGCTTTGATTGGTGTGTAGCTCATGTGGGCCTGTTTAATCAACAATCTGGCCCATCTAAGGACTCTCAGTCTAAATACGAGACAGCCCGATTGTACAAACAGCACCTAGATGCCGTATCCAAAGACCGGCAATTGGAAGAGTTCCTTCAGGCTGATTGGAACAGACTTTCAATTTTGGCTCTCCTTGTGTTTTAACATTAAATTAATCAGACTGCAACATGTCAATTGCCAGGCGCAGAACCCATTGCAGGATTCATCAGCTTTTCTGTCCCTTCACTGGGAACTTCAGCTGCACTCAATTTTCAAAACAGTACCACCGTCTTCTTTGTTATGCTGAAGCCTTGTTGATTTCAGAATTTGGGTTAACCTACATGGATTTTCGTTTCTAGGACGGGATGGATCAGTCGAAATGGAGCCTGCCGAGACAGAGGTTGCTGCAACGAGCCAAAGACACGCAGAACTTGCTGCGACCGCGATACAAGGTTCACACTGTATGGTGCCATGGGGTCGTTCTTCATTTCTTCATAGTGCACCCAGGAATTGCTGCGGATTCTGCCCTAGTGCTTGAATGCTTCCTGCGGACCATGGAAGATGTAGTTTCGATTTTCGATTCCGCTGGCAAGATATTGCCCAGGGAGTGCCTGATATGGGAAGCTTGGATTTTTTTGGGTAGCGTTTGATGAGGTGTGTCTCAGTGAGTCTCAGTTTCTCCATGTTTGTGATTCTGCCACAGCCACCATCCATCTAAGTCAGACAACACCGTGAGAGAGAACAAGAATAATGGCTGCATGAAGATGATGACAACTTTACTGATGAAAAACAAGCTGGACTTTATCTCCTACCTCTTCCCCAGAGTAGGACATAGTCATGGTACGCTAGGTGCCTTGAAGAAATTACAGGAGCTTTCAGACAAGATTGAAATTTCAACTTCTTTAAAGTTTTGGTGAATGGGTTTGTGCCATGATCCACTGAGACCAACTGTTTGGAGTACTTTCTGCTGCCGTTCGCTTTGTCGATCTGATATGTGATCCTGCAGACCTGGTGGTGACCTTTGGCTGCGCTTCAGAATGGCCACACTTCTCTTTCATGTGGACACCGGTTGCTTCTTTTGATTTCAGGAAAATGAAGAGCATTCTCGAGCGGATAGATATCAGAAAATGGATCGGTGAGAGGGCCCAAATCAAAGTGACCTACCTGACTGCTTGCCGTGATTGGACCAAGTGGTTTCTTGTCAGCCCACCGTTGTTTTCACAAAATGTTCCAGCCAGTGTAATGCCATACCTTCAACCTGTGACTTGCCCAAGGCTGAACACCAACCTCCCAGTCACCTTCCAGGGGGGGTTGAAGACCGATGAGACTGGCAACCATGCCTTTCTGTTTATGAGGCGGAGAGGCCAGGAGAATTGATTGAGCTCCAGTATGTTGAGCCCGAGTTCTTTTTGAATTCAGTTTCCACATGTTTGGATGAGCCCACCGTGAGATTTGCCACCGAACGTCATGGTGACCTACGACCAGTCGATCGGGCGAATTATCCCACATGAGTTGGATGTTGTCTGTCTTGTGAAACGGAATGCAGCTGATACGATGTTGTCTCAGGAATCTGGGCTTAGTGATTGTTCCGGGACGAGCTATATTTTATGATGGGGGCATGTCTGTCCCAGGACAGTTTTTGCAGCTTCATTTGCTTTGGCATCATATCAGTTTTCCACATCAGTTTGTCCATGCTATATCCAAGGCAGCGGTTCTGGCTTTGCCATATCAGTTTGCTGCACGGATCATGAACACTGCTGCGACAGAGCCACGGCAATTGAAGAAAGTTCAAAGTGACAAAGCGAAAAAATACCTTGAAGTTTGCCAAGTCTTAATGCAAAGATTTCCCACGGATACTTCCGGAAGATCTGTAGAATTTCTTTTAGATCTTGTGAACAATACAGAGCCAGGGGAAGCACCTCCTCTCCCTTGGATTTCAACTGCATCACCAGCAGATGCAGTTCAAGTGGGACGCCCACGACTGGTTGAGAGACTTGCCCCTGCTGTCAATTTCGAAGCCCGTTTCGCGCACAGGTGATCAAAATGAGACTGCTTTGAGACCTGTGCAATACTCGCGCTGTTGGGCGGGTAGCCAGTTTGCAGTGTTTCAAAAATTCAGTTTCTCACCAGAGGCCATTTTTGCCTCAAGTCTCTTGCAGGAACCCTTGCTGCTAGGTGTTCTAGAATGCCCACGTTACGTGTTATCAACACCTGTAACTCGAAACATGGTGTGGGCAAAGAACCACAGCCATCTTTAAGGCCTGGTAGGGGTTTTAAAATGAACTTGGTTATTTGTAGCTAACACCCTACCCCTATGTCTGACCATTCCCAACTGTGTTCCACATGTCCAGGCGGAAGAACTGCAAGGTGCGATCTTGACCCCTAGTTTTGCTACCTGACCTTTCTCTTCTCTCATCTCAATGCCAGGTTTGGAGTGAAACTGATCACGCCCAGATGCAGCAGGATTGCTTCAGTACACTATGTCAACAGATGACAACAGTATCTATCCTATTTTTGTATGAGTATGAGTTGCGCTCATGATTTGTATGATTCCGTCACTTCGCAGCACACGGTGCAAAAGCTCAGGAGACTTTGGACACTGAGACTTTGCAATCCCCATCCAGCGGCCTGGAGGCTCCAAGCAATTTCTTTGCCACACGCAGGTGAAAAACACGCTGAAAAAACGCAGGTGGTATTTTTTTACATTTATATATATATTTTTATATGTGTTTTTGTTTATATATATATAATGTATATCTATATTATCCAAAGGAAGTTTAGAAGTCAAACTTCCGACAGTATGGACAGATGAGAAGCAGCGATGGGAAGAGCCAGAGAGAAGAGAAGAGTAGAAGAGAGAAGAGCAGAGAAGAGAGAAGAGTCAGAAGAAAGAAGATGCAGATGCGTAGGAAAGTCGCGAAAGACTGTGTTTTTCCAATGATTTGTGGCTCCGGAGGGTCGAAAAGTAGGCTTGCTAAAGCGGCGGGTGCGGAGCCAGCTGGCCAGATAAGATATGAAAAAGTGCACGCCGTTGTGGCGCGAAGCACATTTCGAAGTCAAAATGTTAAAAACTGACAGGTTCGGAGCACTTTTGGAAGTTGAGATGTTGAAAAAGTGTACACCCCTGTGGCGCGAAGCACATTTCGAAGTCAAAAGTGCAAAAAACTGAGGGGTACGGAGCACTTTTGGGCGTTCAGATGTCGTTTTGCGTGGTAGGCAGAGGGGATTGTGCACCTTGTCAAAAGTGAGCAAGACGTGAAGGTTTTGTAGCAGTTCAAAAACCGTGGGACATTTGAGGAGGATCTGCAAAGATGCATTTCGCGTGGCAGGCGCAGTACAAGAGACATGTTCATCAGAGATGTCAGGAAGTCAGGGCGCTGATTTCCTCAGAGGGGTTCCATTTTGGAGCCTCAGATCTTCAGGTTTGCTGAGATGATTTTGCGTGACAGGTGCAGCACTTCGTATGACCTGGCATCACTTTTTCGTGGCAGGCGCAGTACTTTAGACAGGTGGACTAAAAAAAACACGCAAAACGCATTGGTGCGAGGCCGCACTCAACTTTCCATTTTTGAAGGGAGGTCTCGCAGAATTGTTTTGTTTTTGATGTCGTCAACTTCAAAAAACGAGGAAGTCTTGCAGAATTGCTTCGTTTTTGATGTTGTCAAGTTCAAGTAAATTTGAGGAAGTCTCGCAGAATTGCTGAGTTTTGATGCTGTCAAGTTCAAAAACTGAGGAAGTCTCGCAGAATAGCTTCGTTTTCAAACTTGCAGATAGATAGATGGATAGATAGCTAGATAGATAGACAGACAGAAAGATAGAGAGATAGAGAGATAGAGAGATAGAGAGATAGATAGATAGATGGATAGATGGATAGATGGATAGATGGATAGATGGATAGATGGACAGATAGACAGATAGATGGATAGATGGAAAGACAGATAGACAAATAGATAGAGAGACAGCTAGATAAATAGATAGATAGGTAGACAGATAGACAAATACATAGAGAGACAGTTTGATCGATAGATAGACGGAGAGGTAGAGAAGTAGATAAACAGACAGACAGATAGATAGAAGACAGACAGATAGGTAGATAGATCGATCGATAGGTAGATAGAAAGATAGATAGGCAGGTAGATAGATAAATAGATAGATAGATAGGTAGATAGATAGATAGATAGATGACATAGATGAGACAGATGAGATAGATACAGAGATAGATAGATAGATAGAGAGATAGATAACTAGATAGATAGATAACTAGTTAGATAGCTGGATAACTAGCTAGATAGATAGGAAGGTAGATAGATAGATAGATACATAGATAGATCAGTAGGTAGGTAGGTTGATTGTCAGAGAAAGAGAGCAAAAGATAGAGAGAGAAAGAGTGAGAAAGATCAATCACCTTTCGGTCCATCAGTGGCTTCGCTCTGCCATCCCTGATTCACAAAACAACCAACCTCTCCTATAGGTTTCCTATTTTTGAAACTTCCGCCGCCGCCTTGTGCGGTACTACCGGTGTATATATAAATATATTGTATGATATATATTTATATATTATTGACTTGATGTATAAATAAATATATATATATTGTATTTTTAAATATTACTAATAATATATCATATATATATATATTCTATAAAATATAGTAATATCTATTTTATCTAATTATATTGTATATAATATAGAAGTATAATGTGTATAATATACTATATACTATAAATTAAATATATATCCACTGGTTGCAGGTTGATGACATGGCTGGTCACTATCGTTGTGACGATGAGGTCAGACCCTCAATGATTTGTATCTTGCCACCTTTTTTCAATAGGGTATCCCACCTCAGGTCCGGAAGTGGTACGATGAGGTTTGTGAGTCCCAGGCACAAACAGACATCATGAAGATTAGTTTTTTTGGTGACAACAGCAACTTTTGGTTTCTGCATGTTTCTGATGAATCTGTTACTTGTCCAGTTGGATGACGAGCAGTACCAACGCATCTTGGAGGAAGCTGGATACCCAGAACAACTGATCAACAACTTGAAACACATGACGTGATTTCACTAGTTCAGGCCCGGATGTATGAACGTCTTCAGTGGCACCTTGAGGCACACGTGTTTTTTGGATACATTCTCCATCATCATTTTATAGTTGTACATTGTGCTTACAGGTATTCCCTCACACTTCTGGGTTTGCTCTAATTCTCTCAGGACTCTCAGCACGATCACGAAGTGCCTGGCGATGACAAGGCTGGTCATAGAGTGTCAATGGTGGGATCTGTGAGATACATTGGGCTGCCAACAAAAGTTCAAAGTCTGAATTTTGGTGCACTTTTTTTGTTTGAATTGGTCCTTAAAAACACTAAAAACAGGGCACGTTCAAAAAGGTTTCATTTCATTTACAACCAGCTGAAGTCCCGCCAGGTTGATGGGAACTGAATTGGATGCAAGTAGCTGAGCTCAGTTGCAAATTAAAGGCATCAGCGACCTACTGAAATTAGCAGTGAGGAAAAACACAAGCGATCTGAGAAGCTGAATTTTCACTGGGCGAGTCAGCTTCAGTATAGATCCAGTTATGGCCATGAGCAGTCATATATGGTTTTTTCCCATATGGCACCTAAAACCAAATTGTAATTCAATAACCCGTTTTTTAAACTGTCGAGAGCCATACCTGTGTGAACAAATCAAACAACATGACATCAGGACCCATGCTATTACATGTCAGTGCAAGGCTCAAACAAGGGTTGTGAAAGTATGCCTTCCATAGGCTTGAAGAAGGCAGTGCAAGCTGCTATCGGGCCAGCCTGCAAACGACCAGCTGCAAGGACCCAGACCCAGTGCTTTCAACGATCCTGGGTGCATTGATCAGATTTGTGTGTGTGTGTGTTGTGAGGACTGGCAACTCAGCTCTTTCCAACTCTGGCAACCGAAGCACTTCTTTGAGGTGGGCCCTTAAACAAATTTGTCCCCAAAAGACCCTGGCCACCCTGGCCCCAGACCATTTTGATTTCGGAGGCGGCAAGGGAGCAAAACGAAGGTGGGCTCAGCAACACTGTTTCGAACCCAGTTGATGAGTTGGTTCACATGACAACGGAGCCTTGAATTTTTTCAGTGCTTGCTGTCGTTAGTCTGCTTGGTGCTGAGTCCATCGCTTGACTCTACGAAGAAGCTGGCTGTGTAGTGTGAGAATTCAATCCTGAGACCACTAGTTGGCCCCCCCTAATTCCCACAAGAGGTCTAGTCTAGTTTGAATACCATCAGAACGGCAAGAGTCAAGCACCAATCCGCTATCTTCATTTTGAAATATTACACACTGACACGCGTTGTGATCTCATCATATATATTTTATCATTATTAGCATTCAGAAACTAATTCCCATAAAACATGTTCAGGGCTCCTCCGATGCAAGATTGCTGAGGCACCACGGCAGTGGAGAGACCAGAACCTTGGGGAGGCTGCAACAGCATGCATCTCAAGAATTCACTTATTGTCAGAATCAAAATAGTGTCCAAGTTCTGTGCAGGAATCTTGGGCTGAACATTTCTGTTTCGATTGTACTTTCCTTCGGCTCTGAGTCACAGCCTTATTATGCGAATGCCACGTACGATAAACATATGTCAGTTTTTTGTCTTAAAATGTCTTTGGCAAGCAACCTGGTGGGGTGATATTTTCCTTTGAGGAAAAAGGAGACGTACAACAAAAAGAAGGGGTGCAATGTGGCATCAGGTTCAAAGTCAAGGCGCCACTGGCTTTTTGTTATTATACTCAGTACTGTCGAATAATCCGGGGCACCCAACAACCCATAGTATCAACTTGCAGGCCGAACGTCAAGAAGGACCACCTCAAGAAGGCAGTTCCAAGGAGAAACAAGTTGCTTCTTTGCTGGACACGTTTAGTTTTGCAAGTCCACTTGGCAACAATTTGATTCTCAGTTGTCAGGAGACGCTATCCCAAGTGCACTGTGTATGCTGCCGGTGCTGAACACCCTACTGGATTTGAAAGTGTGCAACATGCTTTCACATGGCCACAGAGATACTTCAAGAGAGTTTTGGATCACTATGGCAAGGATTGGTTGTGCTCCCGTCTTCAAAACTGGCAATGGCAGTTCTCTACAGCTTTTAGTGGCATTGGTGCTGCTGAGAATGTAGGGGGCTTGGCAACCATAGAGAATTTCCATGCTGCTTAGGTTCGTTTCGAATTTGCATGCTGAGGCTGTGGCTTCCCTACAGTCTCAGGCTCGCAAGGTGCTCAGGGCAAACATGGTTGCCCCACCTGGTCCACATGTTTGCCATGACTTTGCAGTCGAAATCGACAAAACATGCAGAACAGTGTTGAAAAACACTTACGGAGTCTGTTGCTTCGAAGATGTGCTTACTTTTGATGCCACAAAACCGAAACAATTCTGCACGACCCATGAGAAAGAATGCCGGGTCATCAAGACGCATCTCAAAGCAAAGGGCAAGCGTCGAAACTCAGCCGAATCAGATTAAAACATGATTTGAATTCAGTGCTGAATTTGATCGTGTCATCCAAACACAATCTTATGTTTTCAAAAGCCAAAGGCAGATTGTCTTCAACCTGGCCTCAGGATTGAAGGTGAATGGAGCTGGCCACGACCTTAGCAGCAAGATGATCGTCATTTCCTGTGCTTCTAAATCAAATCAACAGCTTTGTCTCTCAGGTCCAGTGTGCACTGGTCACTCCCGGATGGGGAAGCAACTGCGAGAGTCTGACCCCTGTTTCAAAACGCACCAAAGTTACTACAAGCAAGTGAAACCACTGGTTGATGTGATGATAATCGAGAACGTCCCTGAGTATAAGCCCTGTGTGATTCAGAAAGAGTTGGGGCCGGAATGGCAGATGGAATCTGCTGTAGTGGATCCCAGAGTCTTTGGAGTGGCTGCCTCCCGCAGCAGGCTGTATGCAATCTGTTGGAAGACTGAGACCGTGACTTGGCGTGCGGATGTCAAGATGAAGGAGGTGATTGATCTTCTCACTTCCTCGGTTGTTGCAGAAGCTGGCAGCTTTTACTGGAAAGACCTCCCGAAGTCCCAGTTGACAGACTCACAAGTGTTTCGGCCAAATTTGGGAATAAAAAGACATTAGGATCTCATGACAGTTTTTATCGGGATGGGGATGCTTCCTACATGATCAAGAAGTTTTGAAATCTTAGGCAAAAAACAATCAGCCAGGACATCAATAGTGACTCGAATTTGTTTGTGTTCCACTCCATCAGGAGCGTGTCCTGGCCGACTACAAGAAGCTCACCAGTCTGCGCTACTGTGACTTAAGCCAGTACCCGTCAAATGACCGAGCCAGAGGTGAATGTTCTGACGGCACCCTCCCAACCCTGACCACCAACAGTTCGAAAATCTACTCTCAGGACCAACATGTTACAGAGTATACAAATTAATTATTAGCCCGGCTTCTTTTTTGATTCCAATTTCAAGTCCTTGTCCTGCCTTGTCCTGTCAACTTCCATTCCAACAGCCTATCACCTGCATGCAACCCCCTGCCCACAGGACAAGCAGCGGTTCTTGACTGGTGAGGAGATGCTCAACAGCATGGTCCTGCCGACCACCAAGGAACAGTCCCACACATGTGGTGCTCCCAAACTTGAGCTGGGTGACATGGGGAACACCATGATGGCAAAATGCGCAGGCAATTCAATGTCTGCAGCTTGCATGGGTGCCATTGCTATGGTCGCACTGCTAGCACTGGAGCCACGCTAATAAGCACGGCCCAAGTGATCCCAATTCAAAGTTGATTTTATATCTTGCTGATGAATGATTCGAATGGCATTGCTGCTCAGAAAAGATGTCTAATGCTGCAAGACCACTTACGAGCCTCCCAAGGTTCCAGCATGATATTCAGGATTTTGACACTGATCAGATCAATTCCAAATCATCCCAAACCTGTAGGCTCAATCAGGTTTGTCTCTCTGTCCTTGAGGGCACACATGCGAAAGCGCAGTGCACCTGGGATTTGTGCCGACAAAGGTGGCAAGGCCCCAAAGGGGCAAAGCGCATGGGGCGAAACCATCTACTCAACCTGCAAGTGGCTCATCTTTCACAAGTGGGGGATTAAAGTCAATTGACTAGCTTTGAAGTCCCTACGAGTTGGTTAACACATCAGCATCAATTACTCTAAGAACCTAGGTCTCTTTGCAGCCCTGATCACCACCCGGTTGAATGGCTCTTGGATGAGTTGAAGCTCGGTGTCTATGATGCCCTACTGACATGGCTCAGGGAATTTGTTCCTGACTTTCCAGACCCCAGTGATTTCAGCTCACCAGTGACTAGGCTTTTGTTAATATGTTGTTATGATATCCCAAGATCATCAAAAAATGTATGACGATCTCACATCAACTGATGTCTTCAAATCCCACAAATTTAGCAATAAATCTGCCGACAGCCATCGGTAGATCTGAGGTTGACACGAAGTCAGTGGTGGAAGTGCCGCTTCTCTCCTTCATCTACATCCGTCCTGCCGATGGGTTGCCACTGTTGCACCATTGGATTTTGGTCCTCAAGGATATCATCTTCCAGGGGTTTGAGAGCTGGAGAGAGACAATGGAAGTAAAACCAATTGACCAGAACATGACTTGGGGATCTCCACTTGGGTTTGGTATGATTGAGGCTGTGAAGGGACTTGGAAGGCTATCCATGATTTTTTGGTGCATCCTCCGAACCTACTACGACCGGCTCATGATGACAGATTCTGAAAAGGAATCTTTTGGAAGGTTGGCATTAGTGGCCAAATCCTGGGCCAAATATTTTCGGCTACCCAGAAATATATTTTGGGACCACCGCCAACCCAAAATAGTATTTTGGGAAACCCACCGCCAACCCAAAATACTATTTTGGGAAACCCCACCAAAAACCCAAAATAGTTCAAAGGGTCGTCTTGGGGGACCCCTGATCCCAAAAAAAATTACGTGATGGTTTGGGGTAAACCATCGTCTTGGGGAGCCATTTCCGAGGCACCCAAATGGTCGCAAAATAGTATTTTGGGATCAAACATCAAGGTTTTGATACTTTGGGAAGCCAAATCATATGAGTCTAATACTTTGGGGACCAATGAGATATTTTGGGTTTCAAACCGTGACCAGGTCCCTACGTGATGGTTTGGGGTAAACCATCGTGTAAAAAAATCCTGAATTTTAAGCCTGCCAAGGTGATGCTTTAGATCTCTCAGCCTTTTACCCCTGGCATCTGACAGGTGGTTGCAAAGCGTCAAGCTGATGAGGTGCAAGTTCAGCGATGACTCCAAGTCGGCCTGCATGTTCAGGAGATTGCAAACGAGCGAGCAACAGGCTGAGCGCCAACGCAAAAACTGTTTGCAGAAAGCCCTGATTTTCGATGTTCGCGCCAACGAAATCATGCTTGAGGACCTTTCCAAATTGCCTCACCGCTTCAATCATCAGCTGTTCATAGTCTCGTTTTTAGACTCTATAGCTTGAGAGCTGGCTTTCCCTGCTAGGATCCAACCACATACCGAGACAAGTTCAAGGACGCATTCATGATGGCAGTTCAGGAGTTCAATGACTTTGGTGCAGCTGCTACGTCTGTCAGACTTCGAATAGATGATGCTTCAGCTTTGCAGCTCTTTGCATTCCGAGTCGTTTGGATTCAAAAAAGTGATTTCGCATTTCGAGCCTTTTGAGTTGAAAACCAATATAATTACTGTAGTACTGAGTTCAAAAATATAATGAGTTTCACTGCCACTGTGCATCGATTATAAAATATATGTTGTCCTGCTCTTGCATGCTTTGTGCCCACTTCCCTGGGCCTCCTGTGTTTTTCAGTCAAGGTTGGTGTCGCCAAAGATGTTTGGGATCTCCTGGAGAGACACTTGCATGGGTACAAGCTGGACAACTCAGGCAGGAAGCAGTTGAACAAACTCTTCCACTTAAGGGGTGCCCAATCACCACTGATTCCTATGATTTGTTTATTTTCCCAAGGACGGGAAGTAGTTACGAGGAATTGAAGCATTTAGTTTCTTAGTATGAATCAAACCTGTTTGTTTGTTGCTGAAAACTTGTCTTGATCTTCCCTGCAGCTGTCAGCAATCCCTTGCTGCTTGACGAGAGATGGATGCTTGGTGGAACCACGCGAAACGCAGATGCAAAGAATTTGCACACATGGCACAGCATTCTCAAAGTCAATGATCGCAAGCAAGTGATTTTCATCCAGAGAGTTTTGCTTCTTCATGAAATAGCCAGCAAAAAAGGGGGCAGAGCTTCTACCAATCGCTTGAGTGTCAGTGAATGGCAGTTGGAGTGTGATCGGTGCTGCTTGCTCACTCACATCCTGGATGAGATGTCACGAACAGTTGATGATCATGGGCAACGGCTTTTCCCTGATGACCTGCTTGCTTCCCTTGCCACGCGTGTCGTTGAAGGGACCCTTTGCTACAAATCAGAAAAGAATTGGCAAGATGTCATATCAGCGATCAGACACGAAACTCAGAAAATGTATCTCATTGCAAACTTGGTACTTGTGGAATTGCATTCTGATTTGTGTCACACCTTGACATGGTAACCAGAATCTAATTTGCTTCAGTCTGTGCTGAACCAAGGGACTACACAGGGGAGGCTGACTCCTTGCTTGGGACCCTGAACCCAGCTTTTGATGTGAAGGAGTCCCAGATCTTTCTTGATAATGCACCTGAAGTACCTGACCCTGTGCAGAAAAGGATGGAGTTTGCAGATGAGAGGGTTAATGTCCTAAACCAGGATGCTCGCAAAGCGCAGTTTGAGGCTGACACTCTCTGCTTGGCAAGAGACTTGGCACAAATTGGCTCGATATACAAAGAAGTAGAGAAGACAGAGCACGCAAAACGCACAGAAAAACTGGTACACCTCCGTGCCCAGAACACAATCGGAGCTGCGATTGTTTCAGAGTTTATGGGGCAAAACATGGCTGTCATGTCTGGTGTCCTGAAAGAGCAGCTGGCTGCAATCGACAGGGTATGGGGTTGTGAAAATTTGCGTAATGATGAAAAAAAGGGCATGAATGATTATGAGATATCGTGTGAGCATATGGTAGTTCACAGGGTTCTCATAGGTTTGAAACAGCATTTCAATTGTTTGGCAGCTTGGTGGATTTAGATCCACTCACGCCTGTGTTCTCTTGCTCGGTTGTTCCCTGAAGTTTCTGATGCGCTTTCCAGAAATGCCTGTGGTTGCCTGGGCTGACATGATGAAGTGTGGCCGCCCCACGAACAATGAGACGGATGAGTACGCCACACTGTTGAGCCATGTTCTCCACAAACGGCCAAAGAATGCTGTGGGTGTGATCATAGCACCGTTTCTGGTGTCAGCAAACCAGCAAGGCTACAGAGGTCAACTGAGGACCCCTCCTGTAATGCTTTACCATTTGGATCCATTTGGCGTATTTTGTTGTCTCTGGATTGTGGTCATGCAGTCATGCATAACTTTCAGAAACCACATCAACATGTCAGTGTCTTATGGGGTTCTAATTGTCAGGGTCTTATGGGGTTCTAATCTTATGGGGTTCTAATTGCTCAGGGCCACCATGGGTATCTCTGGATTCCTGACAGGACCTGGGAGGACAAGATGGATGCGAAATCTTTGCGCAATGAATCAATAGCGATTCGCTGCACAACACCCCCGGCAAAACGACGAGTCCCCATCCAGTTCGATGGCTGGATTGCTATGTTACTAGTCTGGATCTCTCCCAGCTAGTGAATTGCTTCTTATGTATAGCTATAAGTTATATCCTCATAACCTTTGTGTAGGTATAACCTTTATGTAATATAACCGTTTTGTGGAAGTGTGGTAGTTAGTGTAGCTCTCTGCTCTCCCACCCGAAGCTCCTTGTCTTATGTCAGTGCATTGTCAGTGCTGCTGGCATCCGCCGCCTAGGTCTGACAAATCGACAGAGGACAACGTCTTCGACCGATGCCAACTTCTGCTTGACAGGCCCCAGATCAAATGATTTCCCATGTTTTGATTAATTACAGTGTGATACAGCCGGCATTCAAAACACAGTACAATGTTCAAAGATTCCTGCCCAGGGCTACTCGACAGGAGATAGCATGGCAGGCAGAGGCGAATTACGTTGTGCCCACTGCTGAGAAGGATGCAGTCCCACACGCGTCAGAAGGATCCAGGAAACATGATTCAAATTTACTGTTATTTTCAATGTTGGAGGCACAATTTTCAACCATGCCAAGTATCAACATTGAATTGGAAATCAAAAATCATACCTCTTCCTGCCTTTTCTGGAGGAGCCTTTCTGATGTGCAGGAATGTGCTCAGTATCTGGCTGGAGACCAGCTTCCCAATGCAGTGATTGCCGGGCTCCTCAGCAAATCGAAAATCGATGGCAATGCTTCGGTCTTGGCTTTGGTCAATCTGACCCCCTATGACGCTTGTGTGGAGAAGTTTGCCAAGAATGGACTTGGCATTGAGAAAAAGGTTTCCTTCAAATCTCTGAGTTTGACGAAAAACTTGAATGCTGCTCAGTATGTGGAACGAACCCTGTCAATCGAACTCTTGGAGGAGTGATATCATCATCTGAATGTGTGGTGCTAGAATTGCTAGACATGAGAAATTTATTAATTTCAGATAATTTCAAGATAACTTGAAAAGTTGACACACATTCATCAAAAATAACATTGTCCCCATAGGAGTGGAAATGTGGCAAGACTGGCCGCTTTGGAAATGTGCGGCCGTATGAACCTACCCCGCCAGTGGTGCAGCCGGGAAGCCGGCAGTTCGATCTCTCCAGCTTCCCCTTGAAGCTTGTCAAGCTTGACATCGACCTCGTGTCTGGCAAAAAGGGCTGGGCCAGGTTCAAAGTAAGCCTCCCTCCCCATGTGAGGAGCCGACATTTGGAAGATCCCGTTTATGGTGCTGAATGGAAATCATTGATGCTGGACTTCGATGAGAAGTAACTTTGCCATGCCATATTTCCGAGATTCCCACACCTGATATGTATATTACATATCACTATCTCTTCTATACTATACCTGATATACTATGTTGATATTCTTCTATACTATGTTGATATTCTTGCCATCACCTCTTCCCAGGTACGGGCGAAACCCTGAAGCTGAAAGACAAGCAGCTCTGATCGCCAAGCAGGAGGACGATGCTGGGCAAAAGGTGGAGGCCTTCGAGCCATGGGATGAACCACAAACACTGGAAGCACTTCAAGACAAATACATTGTCGAATGCAAGTTTTCTGGAAGGTGTGCAGGTACTACCTTGGTGCTTTGCCAATCCAAAAAACGTGACGGTGTTGTCGACCAAGTGACTGGAAACCAACGATTCAAACTCTTCATGGCTGCTTCGCAGCAAAAGTCCAAACATTATGTTTTCTTTTGGCATTGACATCATAGACCAAGGGGAAGCTGTCTTCTTTCACCCTTACTTATCAGATCACACGCAGAAGAGCGTTCTGATTTCAAATCTTTCGCCGGGCTAAGGTGGCCCATTGCAAGGTTACAGTTCCTGGGATGGACTTTCAGATTGCCCATGGCCCTTCCAAGTTTGTGAAGCCAGAGAAAGTGGCGAACCTCCAGCGCCAAGACAAGGAGGGAACACCTGGCAAGTTTAGCGGCTGAATAGCCAAATCCATCATGTGAACCGATTTGCAACCTATTCCACTGAGTCCGATTGAAAATTCTATTAGATGACACATCACCAATCCAATGAGAAATTGGCTCAAACGAGTTGGTTTTGATTTTGATTTTACACCGCTGTGCCAAAAAGCCTGAAAGCCTTCGCCTCAACTTGAAGTCAGTTCTCCAAATCCAGACCACTGAAAACAAACCTTGCGCCTGATGATGCCATAAGACCACAGGATATCAACCTATAGAATCTCAGAATATATAATATATATATATATATATATATGATTGAGAAGTTTGCCACCTCCAAGGTTTCATCCAGTGATGGACAAACGCCAGATCTTCCTGCAGGCGTGAGCTGACCAGCAGTATTTCTTGTCAGATTCGTCCCACATGAAAGATTGCATCAGCCGTCTCATCATATTGAAATATATCCTTTTGAAATTTGTTGGTTCAAGCTATGGACCTCCTAGACATCGAACGCCTCCATAAGCTTAGTCTAGAGACGTTATGGCAAATTGCATTTGCCACGTTGAACGCTATCGATGAGAAGTTGGCCGAAAGCCACTCTCAAAGCCACTCTGAAAGAGCCTCTGCTTCAACTGATGGTGCCTAGTCTGCACTAGATGGAATTAATTGAGAGGTACTGTCTAAGTACAGCAGTAGTTGGCAAATAATCTGGTGTTCTTCATCGAACATGCTCTCAAGAAATGAGTTGTCATAGTTCATCGCCCTGGACCCTGGAAAATGTTGTTGTTCATTGCTATGGGCTCACAGGTCCGTTGTCTCGATCCAATGCTGAACCCGCACAGACTCTGAGAGATAGTATGCCGATGTTAGTTGATGACCACAGGCCCCCTCTTCAGCGGAAGAAGCGAAAAAATTCTGACACAAAGTCCTCAGAAAATGTCAAGAGATCTCACACCAGCCACTGAGTTAGCTGGCCGCAGTTTGCCCAGTTGAGGGGAAAAAATCTCACTGAGTTCTTGCCATGCCGGGACAAGCTTTGTTGTTTACTATTTTGACACCGTTTTCAGTGGCTACTAGACTAAACCGGTCAGGCAATCATCACAGCTCGGGGCTGTCCATTGCTCAGTCTCAGTTTGGTCTTAAGCAGTTTGCCACCCTTGAGTGAACAGAATGAATTAAAGCCGTGTAATTGCAATTTGTTTTCCCAGGTGGTCGAGGATGGCCTTGCTTACAGCAAGTGTTTCAAGGCTCCTTCGGGAATGATTTCCATACCAGTTGAAACATGAACCTGTCGTTTACTGTTTGGTTATTTTCAACTTTGCTCTGAACCCTGCTGGATTTTCTATATCACACCGAGAGATTGACCCAAGGCCGGGGTTTGAACATAACAAACTTGGATACGAACCAATTCCAAGTTTCAGCTTGGATGCGCACCATGTCCCATTATGTGCTACTTACCTTTTGGGTTGTTGCGCCAGGTGATCTACTGTATGTGGCAACCTTGTGCAAAAAAGAGAAAAGGCGTTTCAAGTTTCACACTCTGGATCTGACAGCATGTTTTGATGCCAAGAGCTCTTCATTTTCGGTCAGCAGGATGTCTCACAGACTAGATTGGTGACTTCATCACTGCTTTATTCTTGCCAGCTCAATATTCTCAACCCTGTCCTTGATTGTCCTTGCCTGGCTCTTAGGGCAACGGCCGCATCCTTAGCTGAGTAGACCAGAGAAGTCTGGTGTTGAATAGGTGGGATGTCCAGTTCCTTGGAACGCTTAATGCAGCTCCATGGGCTTGCGGAGGAAAGGTTCTTAGTCTCCTTTTTTTCCTGTTGTATGTTGCAAACGATACATGCTCCTGAATCTCTATCTTACACACTGCCCTATTCCACATGTGCAGGACCACGGCAGTATGAGCATGGTGGAAAGAAGTCCAGAAGCTGCCATCACTCCATCAGCCCGGGTTTTTGCCTCATTTGAAGCTTGATGTTTCTTTTATTTTACAGCTCTGGCTTGAGATTCCGCCACTCCTTTAATGCCAAGGCTCCCTTGGATATGCCACTGTTTTCCACAGAGAAGGCCACCAGCCTGCCGGTCATTCTAAACTTAAACATATCACAATATGCCGCAGCTGTTGAACGTATGTATTCATTATTCCTGGATTTGGGGTCGGGAACAAATGCTCACTTACACAAATGGCAGGAGGAAAAAGCAACGCACCATGAGCAGATCGAGCCGAAGAGACTTGAGGAAGAGCTGAGCAAGGAGGATTTTCTGCCTCCCACTCCTACCACACCAGTTTCAAGGGATTCGCACCTTGCAACCCTAGGTGCCACCACAGAAAAGGGTGCAGAAGTCACAGCTGGTGGCCTTGAGAAAGAACCCATGGTGCCTCTGACTGTGTCAGGGAGAAATTCCAAAAATGACCCAGACTTGTCGGCGCAAAGGGTTTCTGATCTCAAGACCCGCATCCTAGAAGCACAGCAAGGTAACAAGGTGGAGAGGAAAGGTGAAAAAGCAAGCGCTATGAAAAGCAAGGCAGCAAAGAAAAAACAGATTCAAGACGAGAACCCGTTGGCTCCTGAGTCTGACCTTTCAGAAAATGATGCCTTCGACAGTGATGAAGACATTGCCACTCGTGACAAGAAGGCTGGGCTATGCTGGGCTGCCCTCCGGGGATCTGTGATCAAGATTTCAGTTACAGTCACTAGCTAAATTTGTGTTCGTGTGCGCATGTCGCATTCCAGGTCCTGGCATGCATGGATGCTTCATAAGATCAAGATCATCTATAGTTTATTCTTCCTTCCGCCTGCTTCAGGACAAGAAGCCTCCAGTGACCAGGCAAAAAAAGAGAGGTGAGGTCAAGGGACCCGAGACCGTTGAGAAGCCGACAGAGGTGGACAAAACAGGTGAGAAACCGATGACTGAGGCTGATGACAAGACAGTTGACAAAACATGTGAGGCAGCCGAGAAAGCTCAGGAAGCAATCCAGAGCACACCAGAGGAGAAACCGCCCAGTGCCCTGGCTAAGTCCATCCAGCTGGCTGTGCATGGTGCCCCGAAGCCTGACACAGGCTTGGCAGACCCAAAACCCAAGCGCAAAGGCAGGAAGCCAAAGGATGAAGCAGAGAAAGCTGAGGATGCAAAGCCCCCTCGCAAACGTGTGAAGGCAGCAGCAAAGCAACAGACAGACAGCACCAGTGCCACCAAGGAGAAGGAAAATGAGACCATCACCGCCGCCTGTCCAGAAGCCAAAGATGGGATTTCGAAGACACAGGATCCTGTGAGTGGCCCCTCGGCCAATGACACCAACAACGCTTCTGAGAAGGATGTCGCAGGTGAGGAGAAGGATGGCCCTTTGGAGCCAAAGGAAGAGAAAGGTGACAGCAAGGAGAGTGCCAAGAAGCCGCCTGCCACCCAGAGGACGGGCAGG